GATAGGGCTAGATGTCCCACTTTGGAAGTTGCTTTTCACTGGAAGCTTGTGAGTTTTGGGTATCTTCCCACCTAAGACATGTGGTTGTTTGGTAATTGTTCTACTTAATGGGTTCTACTTAACTTATTTCTGCTTGTTTGGGCTACTCAACTCTAGTCATTCCAGCAATGAAGTGCTATATAATGACCTTCTGATTTAAAGCTTACGTAAGACTAGAAACTTAGAAAGTAAATATGGAACTAAAAGCTGGGCATCTTACTTCCAGTGTCTTGTGCTGGCACCAACTCGTGAACTGGCTCAACAAGTGCAGCAAGTAGCCGCTGAATACAGCAGAGCATGCCGCTTGAAGTCTACATGTATTTATGGAGGTGCTCCAAAGGGACCACAAATTCGTGACTTAGAAAGAGGTATAGATAAGTTTTAAGGCATCTTGTGAAAACTGTGAGACTTTCACTGTGAAAATTATTTCAGCTGACTTACTGTTTGTTTTTTAGGTGTGGAAATTTGCATTGCAACACCTGGAAGACTTATAGACTTCTTAGAAGCTGGAAAGACCAATCTCAGGAGGTGTACTTACCTTGTTCTTGATGAAGCTGACCGGATGCTTGACATGGGATTTGAACCTCAGATCAGAAAAATTGTGGATCAGATAAGAGTGAGTATAAGTGGTACCTATATTTGTTGGCATTCCAGAAACAAATGGCACTGTTAAATGACACAAGGATATCTCAGTTAACTCAGATTTGTCTGGATAGACTTGATTGGGCATTTCACTGAATCTTGTACTGATACAGTCTCTTTCTCTAGCCTGACAGGCAAACTCTGATGTGGAGTGCCACATGGCCAAAGGAAGTAAGGCAGCTGGCTGAAGACTTCTTAAAAGAATATGTACACATCAACATTGGTGCACTAGAACTGAGTGCGAACCACAACATTCTTCAGATTGTTGATGTGTGCCATGATGTAGAGAAAGATGACAAGTAAGTAGTTAGTGGCAGAACCTTCAGCAGGCTTTTTTAATGGTTAATTTTAGATTACGTATTAACTCAGGTGAACTTGTCTCAGTGGATTTTTTTTGACACCAGTCTGATACCCCTAAGAAAACTCTATGTTGAAAATAAGGCTGGCAAAGCTGGCAGCAAAGTGATTGTATAGTGTAAGTAATGAAAGCTCTAACTACTATGTCTTCATGACAGGCTTATTCGTCTGATGGAAGAAATCATGAGTGAGAAGGAAAACAAAACAATAGTTTTTGTGGAAACCAAAAGACGATGTGATGATCTTACCAGGAAAATGAGGAGAGATGGGTAAGTCTAAATAGTACTAAATAGTAGCTTGAAATGAAGTGAGCTACCCCAATAGGCTGAACATGCTCTTGATACTTCATGAGTGACCACTTAAAACTATGGTGCCAAAACTGACACTGCACCAAGTGTTAGCTGAGATGTTAAATCCAGAAGCTGTTTAGAACTTGTTGGTAACTGACTAATGGAAGTACTCAAAGAATGTTTTGAAGTTGATAATCTTCTGTATTGTCAGGTGGCCAGCAATGGGTATTCATGGTGATAAAAGTCAGCAGGAACGAGACTGGGTTCTAAATGGTAAGTACTTGAGCAATTTTGGTAAGCTCTGTTTGTTACTTGATACATGAAGAAACTGATGAGAGTTGCTTGTGTTACAGAGTTCAAACATGGAAAAGCACCAATCCTGATTGCTACAGATGTTGCATCCAGAGGTCTAGGTTAGTAAAACTCGTAATGCCAGTTGCCCAAAGTTATTTAAAGAAAGTCTATTGCTTTCTTTAACCTCTGCATTTTTCTAAGTTTTCTTCACATAAAGGTGCAGTCTTTGTGGCAAGGCCTAGGCATGACAATCGGAGGACTCGAGGGGGATGGAGGACTAGTGGAAATGATCGGCTGGCTGCTTCCAGTCAAATAGAGAGGTGAAAGCTGAGAGCATTGTGTGCCAGTAATCTTCAAAAGGCAAAGATCATCCTTTAAACTACTACCCCATAAACTGTTCTCTCATGAAATAAGCAGTCTCATTCACAGTTCACTTTGCCCTGGTATTTCTCTTCTCTCCATGCTTTGCATGATTTGCCATGGTGCAGTACTGTTAGTTTTGTGCATACTGTCTGCTGTGATCTGTGGGTCTTTGAATTTCAGTGAGTTTGCTGAAATGTCGAAGAAAATAATTACAATGTTCAATGAAATTTTTTTTCAACCATGAAATGGAGAGAGCAGCTTTAAAATGTACTAAGCCTTGTACAAATTGGTGAGTACTGGCACATGAAATCTGAGAAAAAGTCCACCTCTCACTTTAGCAAGTGGGGCAGGAAAGCAATGGCTTTTCTAAATGCCTTTGAAAGTCGAAGTTCCTCCACCTATACGTAGTCGTCATGTCGAGACCTGCCAGAGAGAGAGACACATTCTCAAGTGAACCCTGGCTTCTTGGAAGCGCTTGCCTAGACGAGACACAGTGCATAAAAACAACTTGGTGACTTTTGGGGGACAGGTATGTTTTTCTTGCAGCTGCAGTTCAAAGGTCTTGGCAAGACGAGCAGTGTGGCCCTTTTTTTTTGAGCTTCTGATGAGTGTGTATGTGAAGGACCTTGTATGTTTTTACTCTAAGGTCCTCAAATGAGCACATGAAGAGGCTGCTGTGAGCTTTAGTGGCCCTACTGCAAGAAGCATTCAGATGTCACTTGATGATTTGTAAAGGGGACTCTTGAGTTGGGAATGACAAGCAAATGCATACTCCTTTATGGTAAGGTTTTGGATCACAGGGTGGGTGATAAGACGGGAACAGACGGAGTGTGCATAACTTTCTCTTCCACAATATTCATGCAGAAATGGATAACTCTAACACTGTTCTTTGCAGCCATTATTTAATTTAAAGTGCTATTGTCTAACGTTTATCTTCGATTTGGCTGTTGTGGTGTGCAAAACTTTGTACCTCGCTTTTTGCCACACTGCAACGCTTTACAGATGTGGAAGATGTGAAATTTGTCATCAATTATGACTACCCTAACTCCTCAGAGGACTATATCCACCGAATTGGACGAACTGCCCGCAGTACCAAAACAGGCACAGCATACACATTCTTTACTCCTAACAATATTAAGCAAGTAAATGACCTCATCTCTGTGCTTCGGGAGGCTAATCAAGCCATCAACCCCAAATTGCTTCAGTTGATTGAAGACAGAGGTTCAGGTAAGTGCTGTTGTCAGGCATGGTGCATAGCTTTCTTCCCAGAACAAACTGGAAGCTCAATTTACCTTTCCAGCCTCCCCAAAATGGACATGGAAGGTAGCTTATTGGGCAGTTCTGGTGACTTGACTAGCAACAACAAAACTGCCTGCCCCCAGTGTTCCATGTGCTGTGGAGCATCTTCCAGTGAGCATTGTTCTCATGCTGCTGCTCATGTTACAGCAGTAGAGTGCATGATTCCACAGTGGTTAGAGAAAGGAATCTAGCATGTCTTCATATAATTCAGGGTACCTAACTGGAGTCCAGTTAGTAACTGGAAAGCTTTCTAGTAGACTTGCCTTGCTGGGGCAGGAAGTAAAAGATCATTACTAGCTGAACTCACTGGGTGGTACATGAAATGTAGTTTCTATCGTGTGTGCGTGTATATGTATATATAACTATGTCTTGTCTCTTTAATAGGTCGTTCCCGAGGTGACCGACGTGACAGATATTCTGCGGGCAAAAGGGGTGGATTTAGTAGTTTTAGAGAGAGGGAGAATTTTGAGAGAACCTATGGTGCACTAGGAAAGAGAGACTTTGGAGCAAAAGCTCAAAATGGGGCCTACACTGCCCAAAGTTTCAGTAATGGAACTCCTTTTGGAAATGGTTTTGCAGCTGCAGGCATGCAAGCTGGCTTCAGGGCTGGTAACCCTGCGGGAGCTTACCAGAATGGCTATGACCAGCAATATGGAAGTAACATTGCAAATATGCACAATGGCATGAACCAACAGCAGTATGCATATCCTGCCACTGGTGCTGCTCCTATGATAGGTTACCCAATGCCAGCAAGTTATTCTCAATAACTTAGTGTATTTAAATGTCTCAGTTTTTTTCATAATTGCTCTTTATATTGTGTGTTATCAGAACAGGATAGTTATTTAAGAAATGGGAAACGCAGAAATGACTGCAGTGCAGCAGTAATTATGGTGCACTTTTTCGCTATTTAAGTTGAATATTTCTCTACATTCCTGAAACAATTTTTAGTTTTTTGTACTAGAAAATGCAGACAGTGTTTTCAAAGTAAATGTACAGTGATTTGAAATACAGTAACAGAAGGCAGTGCATGGCCTTCCAATAAAGATATTTGAAGACCGAATTTTCTTTCAGATGGCAATTTTCTCAACATGTGCACAACTTTACATTAATGGAATGTCAAATGTTTTTATATTAAATTCTAGAAAGGTTTCTCAACTGTGTCTGATTAAACATTTAAGCTTATATAAAACCAGCCTTGCCTTGATTGGGCTAGATTGCTTAGCATGGCAGGCTCTATTTGATGGGGAAGAAATTTAAAGCTGTTTTCTGAATAAGTCAGAAACAGTACTCTTCCTTGTCTCATTAGCATAGGGCCAGTTTCTGGAAAAGATCCATTGGAGTAATGGTATAGCTAGAAGTCTTGCTAACCAAAACTCTGCTGAAGTGGTGTTGCTAATGAGCTTCTGCTACAAGTGTAGGAAGCTTTTTTGCAGCACTGTAACTGTTGCATATGTGCAGACTAGGCTTGAGTGTAATGTGTCTACAGCTGTCAGGCCTTGTGAGTTAGCATGCAGGCTTACTATGAGCTTCAGAGAAATGGGAAGATCCTAGCATTAAAATTTCAAATTATACTTAAACTGGTATTGAGCAGTGATTTCTTTATTAAAGTGGGGGGAGGGAAGTGGGCTGTTAATCAGTGGAGATGATGAATCTTTATCAATATTCAGTACATGCACTAATAACTCATCTCAATGCACTGCCCATGCTCAGTGGGCAACCGTTCTAAAGCATTTCTTTCATTAGGAGCCTATCTGGCAACAAGCAAAAAAGCCTTGATCCTAGTTTAAAGTGCTTAATGCTTTCATGTACAGTAGCTTAAAGTTCCACTTAATACTGATCTTCAGCTCCCTCTTCCCACTTACTGGTAACTGATTAGTTTTAAACTTAATGCTTAACTACCACTTAATGCATTACAGTTGAATCTGCCTGTAAAAGTCAGGGCAAGATTCTATCTGGGTTATTGTGAATCCAAATCCCTGACTTCAAGTCTCTTGAACTTCATTTTCTTCTGCCTGTGCTTTGCTCTTGGTGACTTTCCTCTGAGGCTAAGCTTGTGATATTCTTAACTACACTGTAATCCATAATCCATTTTCTTATATGTTTGTCTGGTGGAATTTCATTACTTGATGGTATTTTCTGTGATTATTTGTTGTTGCTATGAGAACTTCAACAGAAGTCCCATAATATGACAGTAAACCTAAAGCTGTAGTTAGTAATGTAGAAAGAATGTTAATTAACTGCAAAGCTAAATCAACTGTGGTGGAAGGAAAAAAATAGGCTCCTTTCCCCTTTAGAAGGGGGATAGCACTGAAACTGTTAAAATGAAACGGATTTAAGTTTAAAAGTAACACTGAAAAGTGGGAGAGATGCTACCTAGTAATATTTCTGATACTGTTTTTTTAAAGGTTGGTAGATTCCTGGTGGGCTTGGACAGAATCAGACATGGATGAAATATTTCTGAGTTCCAACTATCTTACTCGACTCAGCCATGTCTAAAACAATTTCTGAGATTTTTTTTCTATCCAATAAGGATATCATTATGCTGTGAAAGACAGATCTCTAGTTCTATATCCTCTCTTTACAAAGGGACATGAGGTAGGGTAAACTTGCCCCTACAGAAGGGCCTTGCTCTAAGGAAATCTCTCCCCTTAACATTTGCACATAAAATGAAAATAAAATACTGACTAAACTCTTGGAACTAGGGCTGCATTGTGGTGGGCTTACATGAGAAATGAAGTTCTATCTAGCAGGATTTTCCGCACTAGGTCAGCGTAGCAGGCTTTAACAGGGCATTCCTTTCTCCCTGGACTGGCAGTGATTCTAGCTGCCCTACTGGCCTACTACCATCTTGTCTTTTCCAATTCTCTGTCTGTTCCTTCTCTGCCTTTTGGGATTTGGGTGTATGTTAAAGAGCGGATGTTGAGATAATCCCAGCTCCTGGGGATTTAGCATGCATGAATTTTTTCATTGCACCCAGTGCAGAGTGGTATCTCCTCTTTAAGCTCCACCTTCTGGCAGTGGTACAGAATCGTGATTAAGCATGTATGGAAATTTCCATTGCTCTGCTCTTGGGCTGGGCTGCTAGCTGCAAGCTCTTACTATGCTAGCAAGCAAACTTTGCCCCCTCCACGCTGCTAGCTGAATATACTGCAGTAATATTAGATTTCACGTCTGCAGCTTTAACTCGTTAGAAAGCTGTTATGTTGCCTTAGACCACGCACATCAACGTGTAGCTGTTCTCAAGCGATCCACATTTGGCTTTTTCCCTAGAAATCTCCCTGGGCACATACAAAGAACTTCGTGTGTCAAGGACAAATCCCTAGGGGATTCTTCCCGCCCCCTGGCGATTAGAGCTTGCCCTCACTGAGGGGCGCCGAGCCGGGGTCCTTGCGGGAAGGGCTGGGGCTGAGCCCAAGGGCACAAAATGGCGGCGGCGGCTGAGGGCACGGAGCGGGAAGCGGGAGGGAAATACGGCACCCAGTGCGCATGCGCAGTGCTCGCTGCCTCCCCCCCTCATCCCCCGGGCCGTGAGGGAGGCGCTGGGCGGGAAGATGGCGCTGGGCGGCAGGCGGGCAGCTCGCTGTGGCAGCGCGCTTCGCCTGGGGCAGCCGGCGCTGAGGCGGCCCTACGTGGCGGCCGGCGGCGAGGAGGAGGAGAACGAGGAGGAGGAGCAGCGGCAGCTGCTGGAGCTGTGCCGGCGGCGGCGCTTCCTGCGGGGAGGCGCGGAGCCGCGGCCCTGGCGCTCCTACCTCAGCGGCTGCCACCCGGGCTTCGGGCCGCTGGGCGCGGCGCTGCGGGGCAACCTGGCGGAGCAGTGGTGGCACTCGGCGCTGGCCCGCAGGGAGCAGGTGTTCGCCGTGGATTCCCCGCTCCACGGCAGCCACAACGCTGGCGTCCCGCAGGCCCGCGATGCCCTGCGGCTGCTGAGCTCCGAGACGCTCCGCCAGGTTGTCCAGGAGCCGGCCGGGCCCGCCCTGGAAGAAGCGCTGGGGAGCGCGGGGACGCTCCGGGAGACGCTGCTGCCCGGTACGGCCCCGCCAGCGCCGGGGTGAGGCGGCTCTCGGGGCTCCGTGCCCCCTGCAGGCCAGCTCCCGGCCTTAATTCGTCCTCCCGTTATGTCAGCGCGCTGGGAAGGTCCGATCTGCACGCTGCGAGAGCGTGGCTTTCTCAAGCACCTCAGCAGCGTAAATGTCCTAATGTGCACTTGACACTTTGCCCTGTAATTAGGGGATAGGCCCGCTAAAGTCACGGTTGCCAAAGTACCCGGAGGTACGGGCTGTGCGTGAGCTGCTGAGCTGATGTCTGCAAAACATGAAAGCTAATTAGATTGCACATAGAGACACTATCTATGGCATTGTGATCTTCAATCACTGTCATTGCCTTCATTTCCTATTGTGGATAAGCTAACATACTATTAATTCTCAGTATAATTAAAAAATTAAAGATTTTCCTCTGGCTACTAAAACTAATTATTTGTCTTTTGGCAGGTGTTTTGGCACAATATGTTAGCTGTTTAGAATTTGCAAACAAGAGATTGCCTTGTGGCCTTGCTGAAGTTGGAGTATGTTTTCACTCTATTCCAGACAGTGAGCTACACAACAAAAACCTCAGAAGGTAGACTAATAAAGATCAACTAATCCCATATAGTGCCTAAATAAGCTATGTACAATTGTTTCAACTTTGGAATTTTTTTTTTGAATACTGTCTCTTGCTTTCTCCCTGTTGTTTTTGAAGGAGTTAACTTGCTGACCTTGCTATTGTTTAAAGAATAGGCGAAAGGACTACCTCTTTGCTTGCATGGTTTAGCTCTCCTAGAACTGCGGGACAGTGGCTCGACTACTGGTTGCGTCAGAGACTGCAATGGTGGAGAAAGGTAACAGCAGTGTACAGATGGCAAATCTTGGCTTGCCCCTTTATTTTTCAAAGAGAGGGGAAATAGACACCCTGTTAATTTTTTGGCAGATGTTGCCAATTTTTATCACTGAAATACATTGTATTTCTTGCAGGAAACAAACAAACAAAACGACAAATTTAAGTTTTTAAATTTGTAGTGTAAGTAGTTTGTAACAGACTTGCAGAAAAGCAAGTGTTTTGTGTTTATAAATGACTTTAGATCAAAGAGCTGTGGAACAATTGATTTGGGTTGTAATTTATTTTAAAAAATGTGCTGCAAATTATAGACTTTACATCTGGCTTTACAGATTTGGTTTGTTAATTAGTAGAGTTTGCACAATAGTAGAACACATCTTATATCTTCAATTTTCAGTTTGCAGTAGGCCCATCTAACTTCAGCAGCAGTGACTTTCAGGATGAAGAAGGAAGAAGAGGATTTAACTTGCATTATAACTTTCCTTGGGGAAAAGAAACAATAGAAACACTGAAGAACCTTGGTGATACTGAATTGTTAGAGATGTATCCAGGGGATAGATCAAAATTACTGGTAAGCCTTAACTTACTTTATTGAGAATCTTTTTATTATAAAGATGAGAGGAATAATTTATTTGAAGAGGTGGTTGTTTAGCATGTGACTATCTTATTCTTCTGTGGTAAAATCTGTATAATTCTGCTGTCAGACCTTCATTGGCAGATCTTATTTTCAAAAACAGATGAAATAGTTTTTTCATGGAGTTACTTATTCTAAGTTAGCAACGAACTATATACTTTTCCACATTGTTACAAAGTTATCTAGTAATGGTTACACTTCAAGATTGCTGGTAACCTTAAAATGTATGTGTGATTGTAACATATATCTGAATGTAACAAGGGTGCTTGAGCTCAATGCCTCATTATACATTTAAAGTAAACAAGAGGCCAGTTGAGACAGACTTTGAAGTATCTCTTGATGGTTGTGTGTTATTTTGTGTGTCGTTTTTCTCCCCTCATCAGGGCCGAGACGGAAGGAAGAATGTTATTCCTCATGTCCTGTCTGTGAGTGGAAATCTGGACCGAGGAGTATTAGCATATCTCTTTGATTCACTACAGCTAGCTGAGAATCCGTTAACAAAAAAGAAAAATTCACAAAGAAAGGTAACTCTGGGGGAAGTATAAGCAACAATGGTCACTGCCTTTTAAATATTCTGGAGTTCTGCTTAAATGTTCACAATAAACACTCTAATTTATTTATTTTTTCTAAAATTGTTAGGTACTTAAACTTCATCCTTGTCTGGCACCTATCAAAGTAGCCTTGGATGTAGGGAAAGGCCCAACAACAGAGCTGCGACAGGTATGTTGTAAGAAAGTGTTTTAATTTTGAGCATTAATTTCCCATGTGACCTTCTGTTATGTCAGGCACTCTGTTAACATTGGTGAAAATCATGCTGCTACTTCAGTTCTCTGAGGCTCACAGTTGTACAGTTTTCATGATGCTTCCACTGTGTAGTTAGTGAGTCATGGCTGAAGGAGTACAGACAGTGGGGAAGTAGATGTCTTCTCTGCTTTAATACACTGCTTTTAGTATTGTTAATAAAATATTAATTTGTTCAATTAAATGTTAAAGGAGAACAAAAAACAAAATCCCTCTGATTCTTAATCTTTCATAGTTATTATAACATGTGGGTCACATCTTCAGAATTTCAGAAGTTTCTGTTAAAGTCAATCATTAAGCCAGTCCCCACAGAAGGGAAGAAACTTACACTGGCATATTTTTTTAAATAAAAATGGAGATTAGTTGTCAAGCTGCTTTCTACTATGAGATTATTTCAGCAAGTAAATTAATACCAACTAGAAATGCTAATAGTGCAAGTTCTGGAGTTTGAATAGTTTCTTTGTCTAGGATTTCATACCCTCAAAATCTTTACTTATACTTTTGTTTTTAAATTTGGTTTAAACACAGGTTTGTCAAGGATTGTTCAACGAACTGTCAGAAAATAGAATTTCCGTATGGCCAGGTTATCTTGAAACCGTGCAAGTATCCTTGGAACAGCTTTATACAAAGTAAGAAGAAATAGTATTCTGTAAGTTAAAACTACAAAGGTGAAAGATGGCCTCCTAGGGACTAGCAAAAATATGCCTATTTTCAGTAAGAAGTCATTGAGTGCAGTAACTGTGTGAATGAAGGCATGTACATGTATCCTAAACTAGAAACTCACTCAGTAGATTTTATTACAAAGAGAAATGACAGTTTAAGAATTGTATGAATTATTAGCCTTTCACGCTTTTTCTATTGTTGTTGCTTTGAAAGTGTGAGATGCCTTTTATAGACTCTTCTATGAAATTAAATTTCTTAAGATGAGTAAACTTGCAAAACCTTGTCATGTCTTCCCCATTTGTGTGCTGTGTTCTGTTTTAAAGCATTTTGACTGGCTCTGTGTTCCATTCTTAAGTACTGTTTCAGATAGCACACTGTGTCTAGTCTTGAACTTAAAAGTTCTTCATGTCTGGAATGATTACCATTGGTGTATGTGATGTTATTTATGCAGATAAAAACCTATATTCTAGGTAAGGGAATATATGATTTGTTGATGATTTTGAGCATATCACTGCTTGTGTCTGTGGACCTTGGGCATATTGATGAATATTTTCTTTCCCAAGAAAAAAATATGTATGTTGATAGGTTCATGAGCAGTAGTCTACATCGTCTGTTTATTAGATAACAGAAGAAAGTTATACTCTGCTTCTACAGAAAATACTCTTGTAATACAAAACTAACATTTACTTTATGTACTAAAGTGACCTAATAATTTAAAGAAATATAATTAGGAAAGCAAGGAATGTCATTAAGAAAATGGGTGTCTTCACAAAACTTGGTGCACTGTAGCAAAAAAAATATATTTGCAGCTTGTCATCATTTGTACATAACTTAATCAGTTCTTTATTTCATACATCAAAAGTGGTAATAGGTGTGGTCTTTTCTTTGCAGATACGATGAGATGAGTGTTCTCTTCATGGTCTTGATAAATGATGCTACTCTAGAGAATGGAGTGGTCCAGCTGAGAAGCAGAGACACCACCATGAAGGAAATGATGCACATATCTAGGTTAAAAGACTTCTTAACTAAGTACGTAACATCAGCTAAAAATGTGTAAACTTAAATTCATCTAATAAAAGGAATTTCTGTGCCTGAAACTGACTTCTGGGGTCAATGATACAGTCACTTCATTGGAAATAGTTGTCCTAAAACTTGGTGATATATCTGTTTTCTGTCAAATCTAAACCATGTAGGTTGTCCAGGTTACCTTGTAAAGAGGAAAGAGGCAAACTTGTCTCTCTTCAGTAGGGCTAACCATAATTTCTTTGTCTTCAATTTTACTATACTGTGAGAATGGTGTACTGAGAAATTGTCATGCTTACCACTAGGTAACAGCAGATCCAAAGGTCAAATATTGATCCTCTAGCACATGCCTTGGAGTGCAACAAAGTTGGAATAACTTTTTGTAGTGCTTGACTAAAGTCTTTTGATTAAATTATACAGTCCAGTTTCTATTTCAGGGTAATTGTTGAATGCACAGGAGCTTGGATCATAGAGAAAGCTTTGGATAATTTATTAAAGATGCCAGACTGTACATTGTGTCCAGCAGGATTTAACCTGACCGTGACTCCATTAAGCTTTTTTATTTTTTATTATTATTTTTTTTTTTTTTTAAGCAAGGAGTTGTTGCTTATTTAACAGGGTTACTGTTTGGATCTTTATAATTCCAGTCATTTTAAGTCCCTAGAGGTTATTAGTTGGGGATTTTTCTTGCTAGTAGACAACTAGCTATATGATCTGTCTATAAAATAATTAGGCCAGGCAATTAGTATCTACTCTCTCTACTACCTCTCAGCAGACATGGTACTTCTAAACATCTGGAGATTGAAATATTCTTTAAAAATACTTAAATTAATTAGAGAAGAGATCTTACCTTGTATACCATCTCTTACGACTACCTGTGAATAGATTGTAGGACTTTCCCTCTTCTCTGTTAAAAGAATAAAATAGTGCAATGTTCTTTTTTTTAGTAAAGATAATAGAAGAATTAATAAGCCATCAACAGCTTGGTGACTAATAAAATCTGCAAGGTTGCAAAGTTAAGCTTTTGAACTTTTGTCTTACAGTATGATAGGCTTTTTTTTTTTTTTTTGTCTTAGTTATTTTTATTTCTCCATAGTAAGTGAGCAATTTCAGTATGTTAACTGCTACTATCCACCTCCCACAACCACCTTACCCCAATCCCCCCAAATATATCTATGCATACTGGATGTCCCACTACTATAAAATGAGGCTTTCACCTTTTTCATCTTCTCTTCTACTAACAGAAAATACTGCACATTCCCGTTTTTGAATCGGCTCTGTATTAAAGATAAACAGCAATTAATTACAAGAGACTTAATTTTTTTTTTAATATATATATATATTTTATGATGTAAATAAAGCAGTGACATTCAGGGTTGGATATAAATCTGTCATGCTTTTTGCAGCACCTGTGGGCATTATCAGAGTTATATTCATTGTTATTGCAAGCTATGTGGGTAGAATGCTGATTGAAATTTGGCATGAACAGCTGTAGAGAGCACTGAGCTAATGGAGCAGTGTAGCTAGATATCTACTTGTCCTCTCTGTGAATGGAAGGTGGACTTGTTGGGAAGGAATGATTCCCTTTTGGGTATTTAGAAACAAGAAATCTTACAGTTTTGCTGTTAGATACAAACACACACACCCCCAAGAATACTGACAGTCATGCATAGGGTAAATCTAGAAAATTACAATGTAATAGCATTGTGATTTTCATGCAAGGTCTTCATTACTGTGTATTTTTTTTAAATGGAAGTAGTACGTTCTACTAATGTAGACCAGTTGCTTCATTGACTGTTGTCTAGAATTACTTCATAATTTATTTGAACTGATTTTGAGTCTTTTCAAAGCTAAGCAACATGGAATAAAGAAACATTGTATACTGAACAACTTTGAACAGAATGCAGGAGCTTCCTAAGTTTTATTTTTCTACAGCTTGTGTATAGCCCGTTTTTGGCTTTTATTAAATGAGTAAGTAAATCTGAGGTGCAGTGCCCATCTAATTTTCTTCTGTAACGGCTATTCCTATAATTTCCTTAAGTTCCCAAATGCAATTCATTTTATTTCTGTTTACGGTAGGTTTTTGTATGGAACTTCATTTAAGCGGTTGTGGTTTTGGCTGCATGGCAGACAGATGAGGCCAAATATAGATACTAAGGGACTTCAAATATTGCATCTGTAATGGTATGGTTAGTAGGAGTACTATTAGTTTACTTCCTGACTGGTAGTAGTTGTCCCCTTCTGCTGTTTCTGCAGTGCCTAAAGGAACTGGCCCATGTTGGCTGCAGATAGTATAACAACATTCTTCCACCAAACTTCTGCAGGTAAATTTCATGGCTATATGGGGAGTAACACGAACTTACTAATCTCTGTGTATGTGACGTAATTTTCTGACTCTTCTACTTTATCCGTTAAAGGAAGGCCTGTTGAGGACACAGCAGATGTAGATTTTTCTGCACAACAAATACATACATGTATCAGTTTATCTTAGAGGTAAATAAAGAGCTCCACAAAAATGTTATCTTCGTGATCAAAATTACTCCTTAATCAAAAGCATTTTTAGTAGAATTTTCTTTCCTTCCTAAGAACAAAAAGGCCTAATCCCTTCCAACAGTTCTGTCTTAAATTAGGTATTACTTGTAACATGTTTGCACACTTGAAAGTACTGAGAACATAAATTAGCATATGTGGAAAATGAAATAGATATTCAAACAACTCACCTGTTTTACATGAAGGAATGATGAAAAATCGAATTGCCAGCGCAAATCCTATCACAAACGCTAGTAAGATTAGCCCAAGAAAAATGATCCAGGGTTGAGAATCACAACTCTCCTCTGCCAAAAATAAAATTTAAAAAAAGGTGTTTATGTAAAGAAATGTTTCATATTTTAAGTATTATCTGTAAATGAAATCAAGACTTTCCATTTCTTTCAGCTTCTGGATTAACTGTTAATAGAACTACTCAGGAGAGTGCAAATTGCACACCACCACAGCGGAAGGAAAGGATTTTGCTGCTGCCAATGGACTGTCCCTTTCATAGGAACCAGAGAGAAAAACAAAGCTAGAGTCTCACCAAGGTGGAGAAAGCTGGACCAGTAGTCTCTCGTAAAAGTGAGTCTTTTACAATCATCCTTCATGGTCACTTCAACTACTGCTACTATCTAGGCTGAGAGTAATTCTTTTTGCATAAATTTTAAAATACCTCAGTATTATTATTGTAATCATTATATTTTGAGCATTACATAGCAGGAATAAAATCTCTGGCTAAAATACTTATATTCTTACTATGTTCTGTACTTTGTTTCTGTCCCTGTTTATTGGCAGTAGTAAACTATTTGACACCTGCATACCTGCTAATATAAAGTTGAAACTGTTGCTGTATTTTGTAGTATTGTGAAAGTTATTTTGAGCTCTGCATTTATAGGTTCCTAAGTCGCTACAGGAATTGATAAGTACAAAAGTAACAGCTGCTTCCTTCTTCTGCATCTTCACTGGTCGAGATATGCTCTGTTTGCCTTTGAAGAAAGTGTATGTGATAGGAAGATTCCCTTTCTCTGAGAGACAAGACAGGGTTGCATTTTGGCCTTTCTTTACTTGAGAGGTGGGTGAGTGCAGCACTGGTTTGGAAAGTGGCTCTGAAAACAAACAAACAAACAAAAAAACACAACTGAAAAGACTGCATCGCTGATTGCAGGGCAAACTCCAAAGCAAGACTCTGAATTAATCAGCAACTCTGGCAAATAAGATGGGCATAAAGGATTGAGGGCTCAGTAAGACATATCAGAATAGTGCTGCTGACTCCCAAAGGAACAATAGCAGTTTTCAGTAAAGTTCAGCTCAACCAAGGCAGGCACACACCGCACTACAAAACATCACCTTCAGCAAACAAATTGCTGAGTCCCACTGCTGCAGATACACTGGATCAGCCAATGCATGGCTATGCAAATCTAAAATTATACAATCATAGAATGTTTTAGTTTGGAAGGGACCCTTGAAGATAATCTAGTCCAACCCTCTTGTTCTGGGCAGGGATTTCTTTCACTAGGTCAGGTTTCTCAAAGTCCCATCCAACCTGACTTAACATTTCTAATGATGGGGCATCCACAGCTTCTCTGGGCAACCTGTTCCAGTGTCTCACTACTCTTGTTGTGAAAAATTTCTTCCTTGTATCCAATAAAATTAAATGCGTCAAGAAGTAATACAGCAAGACATACCTTTAAGCATGAAATTGAGACTTGTGCTGTATTTTCCACCATGGATTTCATTCTCAACTTTGCACTTGTATTCACCCACATCACTGGCAGAGTTGATAGTCAAGTTGAACAATGCTGGCATCAAGTCTGTCTTATTTAAAGTGGATACCTTCTGACTGGCTTTAAACAGTGTGTATTTGAGAGGTGGAGAACCAGAATCTGAGTGACAGGAGAGGCTCACGTTCTGGTTCAACATTACTTCCAAAGTGCCCTGAACTGGTGTGAGAATGGGGTTGGAAAGTATCTCTGGAAAGAAGAAACTTCTGAGTGAGTTGATTGCACCTATCATTCAAGAATCTCTTCCCCCCTCTCCCCCCCCCCCCCCCCTTTTTTTTTCTCTCCCCAGAATATGTTGAGGACCAGGCTCTACTTATTTCTGTTGAAACAGATGTTTGTGTTTTTTACTACTTCCAGTAGCAGGCAATGCAACTTCATATTTTTCAGTGTTAGTATATAGCTTATAACACTTGATGAAAAATGCATGCCTTCATATAAAACACAGCATAAACGCACAAAACCAACAGGTGCATCTAGATGAACCAACAAGAAAACCTTTTGAGCTACAGCAGCAATGAAAATAATAGAAGCATAAAAAAGAAATATTATGGGGTGTTAATTGTAGGAGAAAGTAACTTTTCCCTTCTGTATGAGAAAGCAGCCAAGCTACTTGAGTGGTAGAATGTGAACCTAAAAGTGAAAACAGTATTTTACTTGTGGCAAAATTAATCTCACATAAATAGACTGAATTTATCTTCCCTGAATTTTGAATAGTAGCAGCCAGAGCTTTGATTGTCTATCAAATCAGTTTGGTTTGTAAGATCATGCAAATACACTTTTAAGAAAAACTTGCCTTGTCTTTTCACAGAAATTGTTAATATAAAAGTCATGACTAAGATAAATTCTGACTCTTATAAAGAGAGAAAATATATTTTAACATCTTAAGGCAATTTTTAATCTACATATGAGTATGGCAGCAAAGAAAGTTTTGTATTAAAACTTGCAAACAGTCTCAATGCACAGACAGGCAAAAGATTTAATTTTACATGTAGGCTTTTGAAATTTTTCAATCTTTCCACCTTTTTTTTTGGTGAACAGTTCATTTCAGCACACATCCCAAAACTGAAAAAAAAAGAACCTACCTCTGCCATCTGCAGTTGCATTCTGAATCTGCTGAGAGACTTGAACTAGAAGAGAAGAAGGCTTTCAGATAGGAAACAATGGCTCTTATTTATAAAAATGCATAATATGTAAGAAGTATGTCCTTGGCTTACAGTAGGAAAACAGCAGAATTGTGAGAAAATACATTTTCTTGCAAAAATGAAGCTGGTACACTTCAAGATATCTGATGGCGTTATACTAATGAAATCTTAGAGGAGTGGCTCTAGCAGTTGAGGAAGTCTTAAATAGGGAAACAGTGCTGATCTTAACTGATGATGTTTGCTTAACCACTTTTGTTATATTCCATTTATATTTAGCCTATGACAGTCATTTTAGAGTAGTGGGCACAAGGAAAAGCTTTGGAGTGAGGAACAGCGGTTTGGAATACAACTATGTTATGTAAATTTGTTCCAAGATGTAGCTAACTTAATCAACTTTTTCATGTGTGAGAGCTGTGTAATAGAACTATGCTACGAGGCAGTATACAAGAATATATATAATTTTTCTAGTATTGTTCTTACAAAGGCATGAGATCACTGATTCATATCTCACAGCCACACATTTACTAGAGAGAATGCAAGAGATCCTTTGGGAGAATATGGCTGTGACCAAAGGAGAATGTAGTTTCCTTTTATTATCAGCAATATAATTTTTTAAAAAATGACATACGCACACAAAAAAAAAGTACTTAAACCATGGAAGTTTTAAGATGCTAAGTATTCCTGGATAGTTTGCCTATTTGGAATTTTGGCCAAGTTTCAAATATTCAGCTGTGAAATCACATAGTAAAAGATACAGATCTCATCACAAACTTGAGTTCAACACCACTGTAAAACAAGTTGATGACTAATTTGATCATCTAATCAGTAATATTGCTGATATTTCTTCTTTACAGTTTCAAGAAGTAGATGTTCTTAGTTTGTTGTTCTCTGTCTCTGTGCAAAGTAAATGTAATATTCAGCTAATGTTCTATGGCATGAAGTAGTATTTTGTTTTGGTCAGTTCTTTTAGCATAGGTAAAAACGCCATTGGTTTTATATGTTCATGACTGTTTTTTTATTTTTATTTCCCTGGTGTCTTTTTTGGTCAAAGGCCCATGGTCAAAACTGAGAATTTGGACATTATACAATGTTAGTTGCAAATTCAAGGGCAGATCATAATCTTTAAATTCTCCAGGTCAGACACAATATTCAGCAAAACAATGTCTCAGTCACTATGCTGCTCTGTAGTCATCCTGAGTAGAATATACATAAAATAAAATGTATATATGTGAAATAAAATTACAACTTCTGGAACTGACAAGAGTTTTGAGTGCCGTGAATGTGCTTTGCCCAATAAAATAGAGGAGGAAAGGCCAGGCTCCCAGGGTATAAATGATGTGTACCTAAAAGTTCTGGGGCCTGAATGTACATACAATGGCAATGTTGTCTGTGTGCTTGTATATCGATGATGACTTTTGAAGAAATTCAGGCCTTGCTGTACACATAAAATTAAAAAAGAAAAAAAATAATAAAAAAAAAGACACGCAGTGAATGTCTTAAAAGCGTTGTTGTTATACTTGTCTTTTTTCTTACATATTCTGCAGCCTCTGAAAGTAACAAGACCAGGTGTTACATCATGTTTCCTGCATAACACAAACCCCCTCCCAAAGTCTAGTCTGCTTTAACAGAGAATTTTTTTTTTTTCACACAGTTTAGCGTACAACTTCCTTTTTTTTCCTGTGTTGTTTATTTTACTTAATTTCTTATGAGACAACCTTTACCCTCGTTTTGCAAGTGTTTCTTTTGTGGAAATGCTGACAACTAACCACAAGACTACTTTTTTTTTTTTTTTTTTTTTTTTACAGCTGGCAGAAAGCATGCGTAAAAATACCAACGTTGAGAGAAGAACTGGGAGCATTTGCACGTTTTCCTGTAGCGGTAAGCTGTTCTCTATCAGAAAAACTGCAGAATAGTCCCTAAAATGCTCGCTGCCAGGTGGTGGTAAAGGAGGAAAGCGGGAAGCAGCCCGGCCTCGCACCCTCCTCTCAGGGGGAGCAGCCGTTGGAAGGTGGGAGGCCGCTGGAGGTTGAGGTGCAAGGGCCTCGGCCTACTCCTTCCCTCACAGGTGCGGTTTCTGCAACCCTGCTGCTTCCCCCAGGAGGTACATCTCTGCCCTCCCTGTTCCCTCTCCCTCCCTCACCCTGCTTTGAAATTTGGATGTAGGGACTGAAATATACATGTTTTCTTTGATGTATGCCAATTTAGTGACTGAAACATGTTTGTTTTCGTTGATACATGGCAATCATTTCAACTACACATGTAGGATGATGGCGAAGAACTTCCTTTCTTTTAACTGTCCAATACTTACGCCTACCCATTTCGTCTCTTGAAATACATATTTCCTTTTTAACTCTTATAGTTGCTTTGCAGAATGTTAATACAGTTGCTTCTTAAGTAAAAAGATTTCTGAACCACTGTGGTAGGATATGGTAGCTGAGGATAAGGACTGCTGCAGTTTGTATGAAAGCTAGACTGTGATTGCTAAGACATCACTAGAGGAAGTAATGATGTATTCATTAGAAAAGGAGGCTTCAGATTAAGTTTTAAATGTAAATTATTAAGATAGGTTTATATAAAGGGGCTTCCAGAAATTTTTTTGTGATCGTTCAGTCCTATTGGGCAAGGAAGAGCTGTGTTAGAATTTTTGTTGAAGTATAACTCAGTGGACTGTGTGCACTCTCAAGTAGTATTCTTGGAATAATGATTTTAGTTTCTGATATTTTGAGTGATGAGCATTCAGCTGATCTGAAGGTTTGATAGTGTCTTTTATGACCGCTTTTTAAAAAGCTCTAAAGTAGTATTTTCTACAACATGGGCTGGGAGTGTCCCGAAATTTAGAGAATGAGCTTCATTAAATCCTGTATTATTGATTTGAGTCAAAAAGGTAGTGTCTCATTTTGCCCTTCAGCAGGGTGAAGAGAACAGTATCTAGGCTGGCGGTTGGCCATACTGTTAATGTAAAATAGTGGAAAAATGAAAAAAACACTTGACATTACCTGTCTGACATTTTGAATGCTGACTCTATTAGTTTGTTAGTCTCTTGAACAGTGTCCTGGGAAGTAATAAATCAGCTTACTTCCATGTTTTTATTTGTTTGTTTTGGGGGTGACATGCGGTGTGCCAAGTTGGCTTTTGACTTTAGGCTAACATTAGGTGGTTTTCTTAAAGATGTATATTTAGAATTTTATAGCATCAGTAAGATACAGTGTGAGATTGGTGTTCCCTTTGTATTATTCTACAAATTTCCTGCCTGGAAATAATGTGCTAAATATATTTAACAAAAATTTATGTACAGAAGTAATCCAGCCAAAACATGTAAGTTAAAAAGTCTGAAAGGAAGATGTGTATCATGTGGTGTTGCAACAATATTCTGTCTCAGGCAAGCAGGTGAATGAGAATAAAAGCCAAACAGCTTTCACTCAAAAGATTTTTCACTCAAAATTCTTTGACTTGAGAATGAAAATAGTATGAGATAATATTATGTAGTAAGACTGTGCAGTCTTCACACTGTATCTGTCTTATTGTAGGTTTCCAGGGAAATTTGAATGTTTCAGTAGAATTATAAAAGTTATTTCTGGTCTCAGTTCCTCATCCTGAGAGGTCCTCCATTCTGGAAGAGCATCTGCTGTAGTAGACGTCTGCAGAAGGTTTTGCTAGAAATCGCCATATATTGGTGGTTATGTCTGGTGCTGAATTACATTAAGCACTTCTGCTTTGTCTGCAAAGGTTTTACTGAGCTAGCTAGATCATCACGGAATACCATATTTTTACACTCCTACTCAAAATGGCTGTGGTAGCAAGCCTGCTGTTTATATTAACTACTTGGTATACAATTGTGAGAATGTATTTTCTAGAAGGCAAATAAGAATAGAAGAGGAAGGGATCTTTTCTGTATGAGTATTTAAGATATCTTTAAATTCCCTGCAGTGATCCTTGGGTTCTGAATGAGAATTTTAGTGTAACAAAAGTTTTCCAATTGAACTAAAAATGTATTTGAACTGCAGATTGCAAGGAACATGTCAATAGGTGAAAGAACCTTTTGGGTACTCAAATTAATTAAATTAACAAACCCCAAATCTCCAATTTTTTATTTGGAAAATATTTAAAAATCGTATGTCTTCCTTCTGCCTTCTCTCCCCCCCACCAAAGGAAAAATAAGGATTTTTTTTTTTTTTTTTTGTAAGAAAGGCTATTCCACACTTCCTTTTAAGTTCTGTCGTTTTTGCTTAAAGTAATTAATACTCATTTCATTTTACAGATTTGATGAGACATCAAAGACTGGCACTACTGATACATTTATCTTATAATTTTATTTATAAAATTGGTTATTCTCCAGTAATGCTTTGAGAATCAACAAGCAATATAAAAGATGGGAATGTAGAGTGAAGGAAAATGTTTCCAGAATTAATTCCCTCTCCAGCCATAAGGTTCTGACTTTTTTTTTTTTTTTTTTTTTTCTGGCACGGTCCATACTCTGAGATGAATATTCTTGCAGAACTCAAGGCTGTTTTTCTGCTGCACTGCTGCATCCCAAAATTTCAGTTTGGAGGAGGTGTTGGATATCAGTAATTTTAGGAAAAACTCCAGAATGGAATGCTGGTTTAATTGCAGATGATGGATGTGGGGGGGGGGAAATGTATTTCAATGTGGTCCTGGGTCGTCGTCCAGTAGATGGCACCGTTGTGAAATGCAATGGTCTGAGAAGCACAAGCTTTCAGCAATACAGATTTTCTGTAAATTGTAGAACATCTGGAGCTCTGGAAAAAAGTCAATTTTTTTTAACATTCTTTGTAAATACTCAAATCCATGAGTTTTATTATTATTATTATTATTATTATTATTATTATTATTATTATTATTATATTATTATTATTATTATTATTATTATTATTATTATCTAGGGAAGTATAGAGACTTTTTAAATAAAGACAAATGATGCAAATTTTTCACATTCAAGAAAACACAACCTAGAAATATATGCAGAACAAACTCAATTCATTCCCAGTTCCCCAGGGAGCTGTCTAGATGTGTGAAAACAATTACATTTGTTATAATTCTATGTGTCTATTGAAAGAGGAAGTATTAATTAACCAAAATAGTTCACAGTTGTAAGGAACCAAAGTGATTATATGTGTCAGGGGCTGGGTGATTAGACATCGGAGCTGCTTTTCTATTATTGATTTGGTTACTGGAAAGCTTGCACTGACATCAGAAAAGATGGACTCAGATCTCAGAATTTTATAAATTATTTGTAAAATTTATAAAATCCCAAACATTTGAGATTAACTGCTTTTAAAATAGAATTAGTGAGCTTATACAAGACATTATGCAGAACCTGCATTGTCATGGACAAGCACTGATGACCCAGAACGTTGTGCTTTTAAGAGAAATGTTTTGTTAGTAAATCAGTGAGATATAACTTGAAGGCAACACATCTTTTCTGAAGAAAGTAAAACTCTGGTCAGGAATGGGTATTTGAGAACAGGAGACAAAGCCTAGCTGAGTCACTGTACTCAGCATGTGCTCTGTGGGGAATTAAGATGTCAGTCCTACCGATTGGCACTGCAGCATGCTCTTTACTGTCATGCCAACCAGCTGGGGAGTTAATGAAAACAAACAGCTGAAATGTGCTATGAACTCCTTGCTTCCTTTCCTGTCATAAGGGGCTGGCTGAAAACAGTGTGTGTGGGGAGTAGGGGTTGGTGCAGAATTTGAAAATCTTATTCAGCATTTTATCCTTAGTTATGGAAATAGGTTTTGACTCTGATAGGCTCTGTTCAGATGACAGAACTGATGCTTTTTAGGAATTGTCTTATTTAAGCAAGTAGCAGGAGACCCAACCAGCAGAAACAGGCATCATGTATTCCCAGATGAGCACAGCTTCAAGGGTCTGATTCATTGGGCATTAGATTAAATGTGAAGATTTCTTTACTCCTCAAAGGACATTGTGCCAGATTATTATTTATTTATTTTTGTCTGCTTCAGAAGGTGTGCTGCATTTTTTATGTCAATCCTTCTTTTCTCAGAAACATAAGGGACTAAAGAGAGTTCTTTAATGGTGTATATATTAGAATAATTTTGTGTATTTATTTTTTAATGTTGTTTATGTATAGTATTTAATTTTGCCTGCTATTACTTGTTTCAGAAAAACATCTTCAGAGACTACGAGATGATTTAGGAAAATGTACAGCTATACTACTAGCACAGGTACGTTTAAGTTTATATTCTTTAAGTCAATATGATTTCCAGTTTAACAATGGAAGACAGTCTCAAGCCATTCCTTCCTCTTTGAAATGCTTTTCTCCCATATTTCATAACATTTTGGCTTAAATTCCTGCAGCTGAGTTTATCCCTTGGATTTTGGCCAATACCAGCTAGATTTTCCTCCTCAGAACAATGTTGAGGGCTTATCAAGAATATGACGGTCTAATCAGACTAAGAGATCAAATGGAACGTCTTTGGCTTGTGAGTGACGTCTCACAACAGCCTTTGGTTTTAGCACTATTAAACTGTACTACTGACCTAGTTTGTCCTAAAAGATGACCTTTCAGCCCAGTCTGAAACTAGCCTGGTTCTGAACTTGACCTTATTGGATCGCTCTGAAGAATATTAGCTCACACCCACTTTGTCTTTCCCTCTCTGTAGAGGAGAGCCTTTGTCCCCTTGTGGGAAAGATTGGTATGGTTTTGCTGAACTTTGTATGTAGTGCTGAATTCTTTTATGGGGGAAGAGGTAAATCTCCTTCCTTCCTTCCTTCCTTCCTTCCTTCCTTCCTTCCTTCCTTCCTTCCTTCCTTCCTATTTTTTGTTATCAATAGCAAAAGTTTATCAAACCTTTGTTTTCCATCTGCTGTGTATCCTAATTCTCCTTTCCTTTACCTGGCTCTGGAGACCTGTTTTGGCAACTAGCCAAACCACTGGTCTTTTTTTGGTGGTGTAATTCAAACAGACTGGATTAAGCAGAAGAAATACTATTGCTAGTTAACCAGCTTGGTTCTTATTCATTAAATGCTATGACTATTGTACCATTCTGCACTCTCTCCCTTCAAAATAACACTCTCCCTGCAAAATAGCTAAATAGATGTTGGTTGGTATTGCTGATACATTGTTAAACTGCAGAGTGTTTCCCTCCTGTTTCCCTTCACACAATGCCACAGTTCTGTGTGTAATACAAGTGTTAGAGTACACTTTTAAAACTATTGTTTGGGGCAAAACATACAGCTTTCATTGTCCCCAAGAGGAAAAAAAAAAAAGGAAAAGGGGGTTCATATAAGCAGTGAAGCTTATGAGAACTGTACATCTCATTTATAGATTTCTGTGAATGTATTTAATATTGTTTTAAGTAGTGTTTTAATAAGCCTGTAATATGACTCTGGAAATAATATAAAGCATTGACTCAGTCTGCAAATGAAAGAAACTAAGGAATTAAGAGTTGAGCACTAGATTTTCACAAATAACTAAATAAATCACTACTTAGGGAGTTAAGATCTTAGGGAGTTAATGTGACTTAAGTGAGGAACACTTTTTGAAGTACATGATTTCACCTCACTTTATCAAGCCTATAACCTGAGTCAGTGTTACGGCTCAAGTGGAATGACTTCAGTTTGACTTAAAAGTTGATTGATAAACAAATAAATGTGCTGCACGTTCCTTTGAAGTTATGAACTAAATGGTAAATGTTATCTGGGAATATCATATTGGTGCTTAAATTTGCTACTTCTGCAGTGACAGATTATTTAAGACTTAAAAAACATGCATAGTACCAAAGTAAGGAAAGTAGAAGAGCAGGGGTAGGGACAGGACAATATCTCTGTAATCTTCTTGCTTTCCTTGTTATGCCCATCTCTCTCACCCCCTTCCCATCTGAATTTCAAGAAACTGGGGTTTTGGATAATTATTACGTTTTAGTTTTCTTCATAAATATTCATTTACAGCACAAATTCAACTACTGATTTCCGTGTCTTTACTTTTCCGTGCCTTTTACTTTCTTCAGATTTTCATCTGTAATCAGAAAAAACAAACAAACAACCAAAAAAGCCCCCCAAACCGTCCATTTGTTAAAGGAAGTTGAGTAATTCAAGTGTTCTGTATTTTACATCAGTTCCTTACAGTATCTCAGGCAGACATTTAGAACAACTGAAATGCTGAAGTAGAATATTATGCATCTTTTCCTCTTCTTTGGTTCACATTCAGTTTATGCTTTCAGTATTTTGGATGCAAAATTAATCATCCCTCATTCTGGCATGGCTGTAATACTGTCAGGCAACTTTTATTATTGCACAAAATTAAATGACACAGGAAAGGTCAGCAGATCTCTCAGGGACGTCTGAATTCAAACAGTTTCAAGCTACTGGCAGATTTAACTCTTGAGCATTCTCTGTTTCAGATTGTGCAAGTGCTCCTTCAGCTCTCCGTAGGGAAATGAAACTCCAAACTGTTGTGGGTTTAAAGTTTTGTAGTTGTGTATGTTTTTCACTGTCCTAACTGCACAAAACTTGTGCCCTTCTATGCTTTTGATATATGATGGTAGCATAAGAGGTCCACCTGCCAATATTCTAGTGTAACCCAACAGTTGCTATGGTTTCTGAATTAATTTGAATTTATTGTGAACTCTATGGTAAAGCTGTGGTTTGCCATAGCAAAGGCAAGTGACCTAGATATGGAGGTAAAGGGGAAAAGTGAATAATTATGTATATGTATTCTCTGAATGAGTTTTCCATACCAGGATGAAGAGAAATATTTGCTCAAGGATCTGCAGAGGTCAAATAATGGATGTAATTTGTGTTCGTAAATGGTTAATTGTGACTTAAAAATACCCGTATTGACAGGAACTGCAGGATAAATGTCACTGGACCTTCTTGTTTTTTTAATACACCTTAAGAAATTAAACAAAGCAAATGCATTTGGTGGCGCCCTCAGGAAAAGTCCAGTCACTTCCTGAACAGTAATCTGCCTGGGAGCAGCAGATAGATTCTCATTGTTTGCCATTTCCAGTTTCCAGTAATGGGAACGATTACTTGATCTGGCCAGTTTCAGTTGAAGATTTGCAAAAATGTACAAATTTTAATGGCAGAATTTTATTAGTTTCCATAAAACAATTTTTTTTTTTTTTTTTAAAAAAAAAGAAACTGATTTGAGGACCTGGTAGCAAATTACCTCTGATGATGAATATTGTTTTATTTTGTAATTAAGTGTCTGTTCTTCAGGAACGAGATGCATCTTGCTCTTCTGGTGATTTTCTTGCAGTGTAAGTTTAATAACTAAGTATCTGGATGGGTACATGTGCTTCTGTGTTTTGTTGTTTGGCTGGTCGGTTGGTTTGGTTTGTTAGTTTTTTTGATAACTCTTTAGTGTTTTTAATGCTGTCTCTCAATCTGTAAACTTTGAAAATAACATTGCTTTTCACTTTTTTCAGGTTCAGGAGTTTACACTCAGGAAAGAGGTAGGTAATGATAGTTTTTTTGTGGTTTTGTTTTTGTTTTGTTTTTTCACATACGTATTTAAAAGACGTAATTTAACTGCTTTCTCTTTAGTTAGTGTGCATCCATAACAGAGTTTATCTGGTTTGCTGTACTAAATCTCTACAAAATTTGGCCATAAAAAAAAAAAAAAAAAAAGATTATACTTGGTGGTGTTTCTTAGTAAAGTGTTTAAAAGAGATATGTGCAGAGATATGTGCTGCTCAGATTTTTAATCAATGTTTTGGTGATTTTTTTCCTAGACCAATTTGCTTGCTCCCACAAATGAGAAAAGATGGGAGGGGAAATTCAACTACTTGTATTTTCTATTAGTTTTAAAAGTAAACAAAGTTATGTTCACTCTCTTTTGCTCTTTTTCTTGCAAAATATTCCATGAACATGTCTGAGCAGAGTATAGAACTTGTGTCCTGAAAGAAATGCTTTTACTTTTTATGTTTGCATCTTGTTGGCTCTGAGCATGTACACTCTGCATCCTTGCTTTTCTCCATCTATCAAGAAATGCCTGCTCCTCTGTGTCACGTAGTCTGCACATGTACAAAAAGTACTGTATTGATTTTTATGGCCCAAAATCTCCTTGGCAAATTGTAAATATCTGATAACTGGACATAGTAGAAAATTTTTACTGTTCAGGTACCTAATTTCTAATAAAAATCATGGGGAAAAGTATGCATATCCAAATCTGTAATTTCTATGGGAAGGGAAAATGAGTGCACTCAAAAGTTTTCCCTGTACTTGTTCATTGAGCTGCGTGAATAAAAGAATTATTATACTGATATTATGATAATTATAAAATTTTGTTACATAGTATCTATCATTCCTGTGGTTATAAACACAGAAACACTGTATGTGTTAATGCTATTATAAACTTAGCTTGTTAAACTACTTAGCTGTTTTTTATTTGTTCATTTTTAGTAGGAATATTGTATTCAACACATTTTTTCAAGGGCTGGAAAGTTTAAATTATAAATTAAATAAAGACATTAGTTCTGTATATGATTCTGTATTTAGATTATTTAAAGCCATATGGTTGTTAAGGATTCTTGAGTGTATGATCGTGGGACATGTCACAGTGTAAAGTTAGGCATGTACAAGTTTGCTTGCAGAACTTGAACCCAAATATCTTTTGCTATGCTCCAGTTTTCCTAAAGTATAGATTTGAGATTATCCCAAGTATGTACATTACATGTTTAAAATGAAATTTGCATATTTGCAAATTACATGTTTAAAATTAAATTTAACATAACCCTAATCTTACTTTCAGATTTAAAAAAAATAAATAAATGCTGGAATAACTTCAGAGATTTCTGTTATATGTTTAGGGATGAAGTGACTTGGGGTTTAATACAACTCTAAACTGGGTTATGCTGTCATTCTTCAGTTTATTCAGACAAAAAGATATACAAACTTTTGTTAATCTCTCAGATCTCCAGACAAAAGGATCTGGAGACAACAAACTACAAGAAATAAGGAAAAACAAGAAATAGGTGCAAATCTACTCCAATGTTCTCTGCTCTTCTAGGGAATTTAGCAGATTTGGCCAAATCAGTGATTTTCTCAATTGCCCAAGGCAGAGAGTGAGGAGATGAACATTGCATGTTGAGATAATCAGTAGGGGCATCTAATATACTGGTGCAGAGAAACGTAAAGCTGCTACTACTGTCAACATCTGTGAGATCTGACCACAAAAATGATAACACTTGCTACTAGGATACAATGAATTAATTTTATCTCAAGCTACTACATTTTAATCAGTAACAGTTTTATGTTAGACAATTTGAAGATAATATAACTCTCTTTTTATTTTCTCCATCAAGTTTTTACCTTCAACAGTGTTGAAATCAGGGCTGAGCCATCTGCCAAAGTGAAGAATGGAGATCCTATGTCAATTATATGCCATGCTGATATTAGCAAAAGTGCCAATTTCCACCTACAGCATAATATTACAATTTTTAAGGATGGCAAGCTTGTATATATGATTGTATCAGACGAAGAAGTTGCACGATATGAAGTACCTATCGCTAGATCTGCAGATACAGGAGAATATGAATGTACTGTGAAAGCAGATGGAAAGACAAAATCTAGTAAATCGTTACATGTTTGGGTAACAGGTGAGTATTCTTTCAAACATGTCAGTTTTCTAAGATACAAAAAGAGAAACCTCTCGGGGTAAGTGACAATAGCCAGTGCTAAATAGGGTATCTTGCAAAAGGTTTTTTGTCCTTAGACATCCCAGTGCTTTACAAGAGTTGAGTACTAAGTCCTCATGTTAAGGCACAGAAATGAAATCTCAGTCCCAAGCTTACCTGGCAGATCAGTGACAGTCAAAAATGGAATTCATGCCTCCTGAGCCACCTTCCCATGCTCTATCCCTGAGACTAGAGAAAGCGTTATTTATGAAAGCTTGCACCCATAGACTGTAAATACATTGGTGGGGGAGACTAAATTACTGGAAAAGCTGGAAACAAAGATTGCCACCTTGTAATAGCTGTTGCCAAAGCTAGTATCAGTGGTGGACTACTTTTGTAGATAATTTTATATCTGTCTTTCTGTCTTGTTCCTTCATCTTTTCTGAGAACAGGGGCAACCTCTGTCTATACTCTTTCTAGTCATGTATTCTTGACTGAAAGTGATGTTTTGCCTCTTGGAAAAGCAACTAGGAAAACATTTGTCCTGTGTTAAATAGTTACAATAATATAGTTACAATAATAAATAATAATAATAGTAAAACAAACAAAACAAACAGATCCAGTATTTGCAAATTATTTGTATCTGTCCATTAGCATAAATCGATACCATAGTCATCAGAGATAGATCACTGCATCACCCCAAATCAAACTATTTCTTTCCTTGTTTTCTGCTGTAAGGAATGACCAAACCAATCCTGACTGCTGAGAAAAGAGAAGTTTTAGAGGGTGAAGTTGTAAAATTACGTTGTGAGCTGCCAGAAGAAGTACCTCCTTTACATTTTCTTTTCCGGAAGACAAAGACAAATTCAACTCCTAAAGAAAAACTTGTATTTGAGGCATACAGGAATTTTTCTACAGTGGAATTTTCTGTTGAAGAGGGGGATAATATTTTGTACTTTGACTGTTTTGGTAGGAGATTTGTGAAATATATAAACTCTGAACTTGAAAGTTCAGAACCCAGCAACAGAACACTTGTTACTGTCAAGGGTAAGTTGCTTAACTTTTCATTTTACATTTCTTTGCTTGCCATAATTAAAAAGTTGGATTCTGATATTATATGTATTCTCTTTCAGAACCATTTATAAAGCCTTCTCTGATCATCAAGTCCACAAGTAATATTACAGAAGGAGACAGAATAGAGTTTGAATGCTCAACTGTAGTAGCTCGAATGCGTGACATTGAAATCATACTTCAGAAAAACAAAACAATACTGAATAGTGTACGAGATGAGAAACTTTTGAAATATTCTGCAGTTGCTACTCTAGAGGACAGTGGTGAATACCTGTGTAAGGTGGAGCAAGGGAGAGCATCTAAAACCACCAAACTCAATGTTGTTGTGGCAGGTAAGACCTCTGTTCACCTTAGATTTTACTCAGTGAAGAAATATTTAAATTCGAATTTGGTAGATCTGCAAAGGTAATGTCCAGATCCAAGTATAAATTTTCCCTAATTTAAAGGCTATTTAGATTTAGATTTCTGATTTTTTCCTGCCACTAATACTTTCCAACTAAAATAATACTTCAAAATACTTTCCACATATGGGATGTGGATTCCAAGCAATTGTTACATTTCTGTTTTCCCTGAAAATATTATTATATTACAATAGCATGATGGGTTTTTGTCCTGATTGTAATCTTTCTCTATATGCTTCATTCTGTATAATTTGGGATAGGCAGTCACATTCTTTTATGCTCAATTCGAATGATTTCTCTTTTTATCTTACAGAGTTATTCCCCAAGCCAATATTGTCTGCTTCTCTGAGCAAGCTTGATGAAAATAAAGAATTAACTTTGAGTTGCAGCATTAGTGGTTTTCGAAAAGCTAACTTCTCTATATTACGGAGAAATTCAAATGGAGACATCTTGTTGAAAAATTCTAGAAACCTAACAATGAGAGTTAATGTGAATGATACTGGATCCTATATCTGTAAGGCTGAAGTAAAAGGAATTGTCAAGGAGAGCAAACCTGTAAGGATAAGTGTTTATGGTGAGTAGATACAGAAGGTTAGAACCCAGTGGAAAAAAAAAAAAAAAAGAAATCAAAGCCATAAACTTATAAATAGGCTCATCTTTTTACAAATCCATCTCTTCTACTTCATGAACTACAAGGGTGTTCATAAGTTTTTGGAATATTAATTTCTGTGAGATGTGCTTACACGCTTTAGTTGTAGAGGATTTGACCTATTGTTATCTTAGTCAAGTGAGGCTGTTACAGGCTTGGCCCTAGAGGAAAGGAGATAGCATGTCTTCCCTTCTGTCCTGTTCACTTGGTTCTGCTAGGTGCCAAATAAGCTCTCGTTCATTACCATTTGCAGGAGCTGGGAATGATCTGCAACCATTTAACTCACCAGTTTGATCTGAAACTCTGTCAGTAGCTACCTTGAATCTCTTCCCCTGACCCTCCAGGCAGAAAGCCATGAGAGACAGAGGTCATCTGGATGACTGTACTCCAGAAAAGCCAAATTTTTTGCTATCTATACAACCCCCTGACCAGCACACTGTTTATAAACACCCTAGTTTCCTTCCCCATCATGGAACAAGCACAGTCAGTTCTCAAGTCTGTAAAGGGGGATTAATTGGGTTGTAACTCACTGCAGAAACAGAGGTCCCTGATTAGATGCTAGAGTATCCATCTCAGATAATACATGTGATGTTACTTTACCTCCAGATTATTTTACTCTATATATTTGCTCCTTGGGTAAGAGCTAGCTCTCGAGTTTGGATGATCCACAGCTGTTTTACTGACCTTTTCTTGGTTTTCTTTGCATGCTGCTTGCATGCTGTTTTAGTCTAAATCATATATGTATGTTTTGTTATCTGTTTTTTCTTTGTTCAAGTCATCCTCTTGCTTCCATTCTGTCGATGAGCAGGAGCTTCCCGTATAGGTTGGGTGTGGAAACTAGCTAAATAGTGTATATTTGAATGTTTTATATAAAATAATATTGTATCTTTGAGTCTTATGTAATATAATTGGCAACACTTTTTTTCTTCCCATTTTAGCTCCGGTCTCCAAGCCAACTCTTTCTGTTGTCAGTGGTTTACCGGAGGTGGTGCTGGGGAAACCTCTACAGTTGATCTGTCGTTTAATGATGGGAACACCGCCAATAACATTCACATTCTACAAAGGAAATGAAGTTAAGAAAGTGGTAATTAATGACACATATGCTACATTCTTGGATGAAAATATTAGACAAAATGACAAAAGAGGATACAAATGTGAAGCTAGAAATAATCACTCTAGCGGCGTGAAAACTAGCAATATTCTCAACATCACAGTAATAGGTAAGTCTGTTCAATGCTTCTTGTCTAATGCCATATTTTGATTCTTGAAACTGCTTGAAGTGGCATATTATAGACTAAGCAAAATGGATGCTTTATAAAAGCTTTATAGTTTATTATAATAAAAGCATTATTTCATTCAAAATGTTTATAAATCCTTGTTCAAATGGAGTAAAAATAGTTGGAGATCTGTATCAGACTATTTGTCAATGAAGTAACAATCTTGATAGTAGTCAGAACTGAGTTAATTACAGCTGAGTTTATTTTAATGCAAAAGACATCTGACTTGAAATCCTGTTGTAGAAGTAGTCTTACTGGCAAAGCATAAATGATTTCAGTGTTCAAAAATTTGAACAACAAAAGCTGTTTCAGTAAAATAACGATTAAAAAATTCAGAACCAGATAAATTTTTTCCACATTTGATTTCCATAGGTCTGGATTTATTGCATATGTAATGATATTGAAGTTATTTATATGAATGATATTGAAGTTATTTGCAGCTCCTGCAAATGGTAATGAAGTTATTATATGGGTATCTTAACACTACTTCAAGAAGGAGCATGCTAGTGAAAAAGCTGTGATTTGCAAGTGTGCAATTGGTAGATGTGAAGAGCAACTTCAGAAAGCAAAAAACTGTTTCATAGTAAGCTACAAGAATCTGATACTGATAACTCTTAAAACATATGTGCGTGTTGGTTCTTACGTGGGTAAGAGCGGCTTGTTTTGGTGGGATTTTAACCATCATACTGTATTTCTGTAGATTTGTTTGGTGCTCTCCGAGCAGATGGTAGTAAATTTTCACACAATAGTTCAGATCCTAGTGGTTCAAAGGAGTTTTCAGTGTTGTGTCCTAGCCTGAATCCAAATTGTGTTCATTTTAAAAATATAAACTTGCTAAAAGGTGGATTATCTCTGAGTTTACTGAAGAAATGTGAGTTTTGACATTGAGTTGTACATGACTAGAACAGATATATCCAGAACTGTTGCATTTCTTCTGTGTCAGTTGGATTATTGCACAGCTGAAGGACATGCTCTTTGCTTTCTTGGCCTCTAAAAAAAGTCTCAGATGACAGTATTTGCCTTTGCTTAGATTATAGAGCTAGGAGTGCACATCAAGTTCATCAGTTCCACTAGGATATGCTTTGCTAACACTGGAGAGAAGCTGAAATACAAAACTGTGAAAAGCTTTATCCAGTAAAATGTAAAGTCAAGGTAATTTGAAATAACGAGTAACAAATAAACAAATACAAAGCATAATCTTAGTCCTTTAATAAGTGTCTATTTCTATAGTGTCTTACACATCCTTGCTAGAACTAGCGTATTGCAGTCATTACAGCAGTGTTTTGGTATATACTATGACACTGTTCGGAAATTCTGAATAGAAACTCACATTTTGGAGCCTGATGAACCTATCTTCTGCAGCTATTCTCTCCTGATGTGGCTGTTTTCTCTCCTGAGTTCTGTTTTCTGTCCTTTCTGGCTATACCAGATCTGAAAAAAAATATTTTGTTTTATATAGCAATTCTCTCACAGTCATGAGGCCAGTTGCAGTAGCCCACATTTTGCAACTAAATCAGTTTCCTCGTATAAATGCAGCTTTCATGACAAGTGTCTTTTCATATCAGATTTGGCTTCCTCGTTTTGCTTCTGTGCCAGTGTTGCCTTGATGACTCCTCATTTACTTCTGTCGTGTTATCCATGACCCTGCTCCAAACACATTAATAATAGTTCCAGAAAAATTTTGTTCAGTAATTTTAGCAAAGCAGGTGCTTCAAATCCAAAGCATTTTGGGAAGCTAGTGACAGTCCACTTGCATTGTGCCATAGAAAGTGTTAACTGTATATACATTTTTTTTCCTGATGCAGTTATGAGTTTTGATTCACATGTATTTGTAAGATAGCTCTGTATATGTTATTTCCTTCATTAGTAGCCTAAAAACTGTATTTTCACTATGCATATTCTTACAACTTGTTCAAATGTAGACTATTTTCTTTTGTTTGCTATATCCTGTAATCTTTAGAATTTAGGACTTGCTCATGCCTTTAATGCATCATCTGACAATGTTTACTATTGTTACGAGAAAGATATAATGCAGTTAGTATAAAACAGTGTAACCCTACATAACTATGAAAGCATAGGTACATAAATTATTTATAATATATATACAATAATTATAAATAATAATTATATAACTGTAAATAATTATAATTATTTGTACTATCAAACTGCAGAGTGTATTATTTCTGAAAACTAAATAATTTCTAGGTTGGGGCCTGGTGGGAATCTGAAGGAGTTTAAGAGGCTGACTTCTGTGGAAATGGATATAGTTTCCTTCTGTGTCTGCTTTGCTTCTTTATGATGCCCTCTTTATTTTTGAGTGTATAGAAATATTTACTGGAGGATGCAATCTGGCAGAGATATTTCAGAACAATACTGTGCATTCACTCTGTTTAGCCAAGTAAAATGTCATTAAAGCAAGTATATCTACAATACAGTATTTTATCATCAAAGTTATTTTTAATAGCAGAGAGATCTGTTTCATTTGTGCCTTTCTTTGTAGTACCAATCAGGAATGCCAGCTTGGGCAGTATTCCATATGGGGATGTGGAAGATGGCAGTGGGACTGCTTTTCTCTGCTCTGTCAAAGAAGGATCTTGGCCAATCCACTTCAAGATTTTTAAAAAATCTGATCACGATACTCTTTTATATGAAAAAACCGAAAGCACAGACAGAATCGTGTGGCACAAGGAAACAATGAGCAGGCAGGATACAGGGACATATTACTGCATGGTTTCTAATCGAGCTAAGGTGAATGTGAAAAGCCATCCAATAACCATCAATGGTAAGTTAACTTTTACAATAAGCTGCATACTCTGCTATCATGGCAGGTGAGGTCATGTTATATGTAAAGTTACTAAATGTAAGGGATGTTATGAAGTATACCTGCCTTACTTGGTTTTGTTCCACCATTGGCAGAAGTTAGACAGAGAAACATTTATAAACAGAGGTTATTTTTCCTACATACAAAAGCTTAACAGATGCTCAAAAGCCAAAGGAGTCATATTAAGTTAAAAGCAACCCTTTGTTGTACTGAGATGTCTGTCACAAGAGCAAGGCTCACTAGCGACCTTTGCATGCAAGTCTCCTTAAAGACTTTCAGCATTGTGTAGAAAGGTTAATTTGTAGTAAAGCTCACTTTATGCAGAAGTTAGTGATGATGACCAGTCACTGTATATACTCTCTTAAACATGTCTTCCGTATTTCCAGTCATCTTAGCGTCTTGGCAGAAAGGAGTCATTGCTGCATTTGTCCTCATACTTATCGTAGGAGCAATAACTCTCACTGTATGGTGGTTTTTATGTAAGAAGAAAAAGGGTAAGAAATGATTCTCTTCTATTTCTTTAGTAATTAATGTATTGCAGTAAAAACATTGTATCTGCTTCAGGAACAAAGGCCCGTGGGGGTGAAGCCTTGGGAAATGACTACATGTGTATTTAAAAACCTAAAAGTCTGCTTAAAAATGCATGGTTGGGTCAAATTAAGCTGTAGGTGTGTTGAAGTTGCTCAGGTATCTTAGGCAGAATAGGGAGAACATCTAACTAATGGTGCTGGAAAGGCACTAGTGGAGCACATGTTTTTGGAGGTAGGCCAGAATTGCACTATTCTGATGCAATCCAAGGTCTGGAATTCAGACCCTTCAAATGTAGAGGAAGAAGCAGCCTGAGTTGCTTTTTGTTCTGTTACAGAACTACAACAATTTGATTCAGGGTCCCAACTTGGAGGTAATTGAGATATTTCCCTAGTCTTTATGAAGGAAATTTTAGATTATTAGATTTCTTTTTCTCCCCACACTAATATAATTTCACTTTTGTGTTTGTCTTTTATCATTAAGGTATTATTTCAGATATTGGTCTTTTGGAAAGTAAGGAAATCTAGTTTAAATGAACATCCTGTGATATGGAGTACATTGCAAAATATTTTGGAAAATTTCGAGTACCTGGATGTCCTAGGCAGCTTAAATTGACCAGGCTGAAATTTGAGGTTAAAGAGCTTAGCTTCACTGCAAAAGAGACATTTAAATGGGATGTAGAACACTAAGTAATTGATTTTGTAATATCTAAGAGAATTTACTCTGATTTTGGTAGATAATTGCTGTGTTTTTATTTTTTTTATTTTTTTAATTATTATTATTTTAAAATTATTTTACTTGTACAGTATATTAATAGACGCTTTTATTCTTCTTTGTCAAGCTAAAGAATCATCCATGGAGATGTCTCGGTAAGATAGCTTGCTTTCTGGTAATGGTGAAGTATTTCTGTTTAAAGGTTTGGGGCCTTCCACCATATGAATGTAGTTTATTATGGCACACACCTGCAAACAATAGATGGTTGTGCTTCATGCACCACCTGCTTACACAACAACAGGATGAGGAAATACTCTAAAAATAGAAAAAGGACAGCTAAGAGAAATACAAGAATGTCAGACCTACATTTGAATGCATTTAGAAATTAAATTAAAAACACTGAAGTCTTAAAGTAATGCAAGAAGGACCACATTTGATTTAAAGCTTGCTTATGTTTATCATAAAGACAGAAACAAAATTTTCATTAGCTTCAATACTTAAGAAATTGTAGTAGTCAGCATAGACAATGACTGACATTTGCATATCATCATGTTGATTTTGTTGGCTGGTATGGATAATTACATAAACTTTTATTGGTTTGCTCTTCAGATCTGCCTTGGCTACAAACTCAACAAATGAAAAACTGGCAAGACAGCACAATGATGGAGACTACTATTCTGGTAGGATATTTTACTGTAAAACTAGTAGTAAATTGACCTAATGACCAAATTAAATATTTATTCTAAGATTTGGACTTGCATGGTTGTGGTTTAGACGGGGGCCAATTTTTTGGTAATCCTATAATCACAATAACATCCTCCAAAGTGTTTTCTATCATTTTGAATTTGCATAGCTTTTTATGAGCATGTCTTATACAAAGGCTTGTTTATAAATATGCTCAGGCACTTCTACCAGGCAATCAGTTACCAATACTACAGATGGAAAATGATGGTAAAGGAGAATTACTTCCTCATTTTGACAGATTTCCGACAGATGCAAAAAATGAGTTCAGAGAGCAAATTTGAGTTGTGGCATGTGCTCCCACAGTCTGGCAGCAATGTAGCAATGTTAACTTGCCCTTACTGGTCACTTTCTTTCCTGGATCTCAGTGTACTTCATGAAATAGGTGGACGTGTTGTTTAGAGTACCTGCTATGAGCAAAGTTATCCTGTTTTTTTTTGTTTTTTTTTTTTAACCTGATTATTTAAGAAGTCCTACTCACCTGTGTTGCATGACTGTCTCTTAGATGTGAATCTAAAAGTAGAATTTCTCCTATGTAAATAAACAATGGCAATATGAACTGCAGCTGTTTAACTCATTCATTTGATTGTCTTTAATAAATATTTTCTCAGCTCAACTTTTACTTGAATATTTTAGGATCAGGTTACATTGAAGATGGTGAAAATCACATGAAATCAACAGATGAAAATAAAGGTAATTTCAAACTTAATAGATTCTATTTTTTTTTTTTATTTTTTACATTTGATGGCTGTAATGTTTTCTTGTGGCAGCAGTGAGGATTTGATAGGTTCAGTCCTTTCCTCCTCCTCTCTGATAGTGGAGAAAACTGACAAATATAGATCTTTTTCCTCATGTGCAGAATGGAAATGACAGGACCCATTTCTGAACATCATTGTGAAGTGTAATTAATTTTGCTGGATTTGAGGCCTTCAGATGGAGGACAGTTTACAACTAACTAATAGTAGGAATTTTAAATTCTATATGACATATATTAAGAAGCGTTTTTTTTTTTTTTCTACAGACTTATTTTATTTCTCTGTCTTTTATTCCTTTCTACAGATCTTGAAATATTTAAGCATTAAACCTAAAAATAATCTGTTATGAATCAGAATAACATGACCTGCCAAATGCCTTGACACACCACATGGGATAATATCTATAATCATTAAAAGGTGTCATCAACTACTATCATCTAGCATATTGCATTCTTCATGACCAGTGTTTTTAAAATATTTATTCAAAGAATACTGCTTAAATATGTGGATAATTTCACAGAAAAACTTGGAACCAACCTTTGGAAACTCTAGCTCAATTATTCTTTTTTTTTCTTTTGTTTCTTTTTTTTCTTTTATCCTACCTGTTTCAGATCAAGTTAGCTCTGATGTAGCAACCTGCATGTGTGCAGGAAATAAATGGTTTTAATCTTTATCCACTACAGATTGGGCAGCTTTGTTAAAACCAACTAGGTTATTGAAGATCTATGTACCAGATACAGAAGCCTATTCTTTATATAATTCTAAAAATAACAGTAACCATTCTGTATTTGTATGACAATAGCTTTTACTTCAGCAAGCAAGAGGAAAGAGCTTATGGTCAGTGTATGGAACTTAGCCCATTGTGGCCCGAATAAGTCAAATTAGAAATAGAGACACCCTCATGTAAAACAAACACACAGACAGCTGGAACATAGGAACATAAAGCTGTATCGATCCTCAAGAATCTTTCCTATTGTAGGAAGTATGTATTTAAACTTTGTTATTGACTAATATTTCTTCTGAAACAGTTGTTTTTTTTTTCTTGGCTTTTTTTTTTTTTCCTTCTCTCACCAATGCTATTGCAATGTTGCTCCAAAACTAATGCTGTTGAAAGGCTGCTCCAAAATTTTACAGTTCTAGTCATCAGATCTTTTTGTTCTAAAGAACCTGCAAGCATTTCTGCAGGGTTCCAGTCTGCCATAGACTTTCCAACTTTTTCAGAAATCCAGTAGAAATCCATCTAGGAAAACCCCGAGGAAAAGAGCAGGAAATAACAGCTGTTTCTTGTCTCTGTTACATCCAGTTACTGGTCGGCCAGTAGTCTTAGTAAATCATCTGTCTAATCATTGTCAAGCTTTTTGTGGGCATTGTGGAAAGGAGCATTTTGAGGAGGTAGATGGGTGGTCATTGTAAATATTCTAAGGAGAACTTGAAGGGCAACTCTTTATGGAGAACACGAGGGAAAAGTGCTGAAATTGCTTTGTGGCAAAGCAGAAATTGAGAGTATGAGAGGTGATGAGAGTAGTCATGAAGGACTTAGGGAAGGCTTTTAAACATGAGCAAAGTGGACAGTGGGAAGTGTCCTGCCCCAGCAGCCATGCAAAAGGAAGAAAAAGTAATGTCAGGGAGAAACATAGAAGAGAGAGAACCTGTAGCTGCAGCAGGAATAGGGGAGAATCCCAGATAATCTCCTACTCCATTTGTGTTGTGACACTTTTGAAGGTGTTTAATAGAAAGTAAGAATTAGGCACAATTCTCACATCACACAGTTTCAGAATTTTGGTTTGTGTTGTACTGCTGCTTCTCGGGTAGGGGCGGACCTTAGGAATAGGTAGGCCTTACACCTCTGATAACTCATGTCTGCTGTAAATAGGGCCTGATCCTGCACCTATCAAAGTCGATGAGGACATGTCCATTAATTTCAGTGGCGGTAGGATCAGGCCCACTGTTCAAGTGAAACATGCAGTGCTACAAAGAAACATTTTCTTGATATTTTTGGGCAGGACCTGACCTTGAGAGTGCTGAGGTGGAGTACACTGAAGTTGAAGTATCAACGCTTGATCCTCACAGAGGTAATATACTGTGTGGCATCTATGGTTATGATTTGGGATTAATTCCACGCATGTTACTGCTCCCTGACTCTGATTTGACATTGGCATCTATGAATATAAGAGCAGGTTGTGCTTTGCATGCATGACGGTTTCATGCCAATAGTGTTCCTTAACGTAGATGATGCTGTGGCAACCATGCTCTTGTTCATTGCAATCCTTCTTCCCCAGGGATCCTCTTGTTCACTTGCCCATCCCATTCATGTGAGGTCTCTGCAGAGCAGGGGTCCCAGTTAGATCTGTGTCTCTGAGCAGAAAGCAGCCTGCTGTGAATGCTCATGTTAGAGAGTCCAAACTTACTGACAGCCGTTTGAGGTTAGCCACAGGGTAGGTTAACAGAGAGAACAGAAATCAGAAGAATCGCTTTTGTTTATAAAGGAACTGGCTGAAGGATGAAAGCTGTAATACACTTGTGATAGAGAAGGGAGAGAGAAGAGTGTACTTAGTCTTTTAGTCTGGAGAGGGATGGAGAACATCCTGGGTTGTGTGAGACATCAGACAGAAAAATTAGAATATTGATACCCAGATAATTTTGGCCCACATGTCTCGCAGTAGCTCCATGGCAACAATAACCAGAAATCATACCATGAGTCTAAGCTATGTGTCTCTGCAACCTTGTCGGAGAAACCCGTTAAAATTTATTCATCAAACGCACACTTGAATCGCTCTGTGTCAGCTGGAGAACTGTGATATCATTATACTCTTGTGCTGAAAGCTGTTAAATCTTTCAGACACTTAGAAAAAGTTTCAAGTACCTAAGAGTGAATAAAACCCACCAGAGACATTTATGCTATACCCTAGCTTCTTTGTTTTAACTTAATCAGAAGCAAAGTGATGAAGGAATGGACAAATTTGCTTTTCCCTTGTAGGAAAGAACAATCACTTATTTCAGAGACCAAAGGCATGCTTGTTTAGCTAGTAATACAGATCTTTGGCCAAAGTGCTCACTCTTCATGCTTGGCATCAAAGCTCTCTTGCTAAAGCCAGTCCTTCTGTTCTTTTGCTCTTTTCTGACATGCTGGTATCATTCATCACAGAGTTTTCCCCGTATTCTAAGCATGCTATTTATTCACCTCTGCTAAGTTTTGCACTTAGATATCACAGCTGCACTCTTTCTCAGAATAGGGCTAATACTTAATTGTTCCAAATGTTTTCTGAGTGTGCATTGTACAATGTAGAATGGTAAAGATATACTAACGTATTGCAATTTAAATGAAAAATCCTATTAAATGCAAGACCAGCATCTCTAAAAATAGGCTTTTCGTCTCATTTCTGAGATTCCAGTATACCAGACTGAGTAATAAGTGTCTGTGCTATGTAGACTTCCATCATAGCTGAATCCAGTTAAATTGCAAAATACTGTTTAAAAGAGAGTGTATAAATTAGATCAGACTATTCTAACTAAATGCTGACTCGTGTTACAGACCTATGTATGACATACAGAATGTTAATTTATTCTGTAAGGCTGAACCACGCTTCAAATACATTGGGATGTTATAGCTCCCTAATCAATTTCTTGTGTTGCACCCAGTACACAAGTGAATGCATGCTTTGGTCACATAAATGGCAACTGCACTGCAAACATTTAATGCATTAATCTTTCAGAGCATCATGAGGTTGCTGTTTAAATGAAAGGCGTTATATGAAACCAAGCTGCAAGTTTAATTCTTTCAGTTCTGCATTGCCTTTAGCAATGAGGAGAGTATGAGACTATTTTTTGGGAAAGGAGAAGCAAAAATCTGTTTCATCATATACCCTTGTAGTAATCAAGCACACCCACAAAACTAACAGCCATAAGACTGCCACTAGTGCTTTTATCATGTTGGTGTTATTGCATGAGTTTTGTTTCAAATTGAAATACTTATATCTCTCTGTGGGCTATGATCAGTCCTTGTTAGGGAACAGACCTTCCAAACGATCATCTAGCCCCAAATCCCAATTCTGTTCTGATATCACCTATTTTATGAATGAAGACAAAGTATAGCACACTTGTCTCTTCTCTGGGCATGCAAGTCTCATCCAGCAGACTGCATGTACAGTCTGGTTCCTTCTGCCTTTTGAGAACCCCTGATTTCTTTGATCACTCAGGACTAGCTTCAATTTATTTTATCTGTCTATTTGTTCCTCCTGCCACTGTTGTCAATGGTGATACTAATCTGAAGAGTAGGAGAATCAGATTTTGTGTATCGTGTGAAAGAAGAGTGCAATATGTAAGCTGTCTTTGGGTAGCTTTCTGAAATCAGGAATAACTGAATGCCACCTCAGAACAAGTTCATGTAGTTGTATAAGGATGTACTCTTTGTCTTAGCCGGTAAAGGACTAATACATTTTAAAGCAGTTGTAGTTTCACCCTGTTTTCTTCAGCCACGTCTGCAGTAGCTGGCCATTATAAAATGATTTTTAACACAGTGTTACAGTAAATAGGCTAGTGCATCAAAAACTTGGTATGTGCTGTGGTTCTATGGTAAGCAAAAAAGAACAGGGTTCATTATGATGTTATGCATGGTGGTAAGCTTGTTAAGTACAAAGTTTTGCTGCTTTGTTTTGAAAGTCTACATGGGAATAACTTGATACCTACTTTCTAAGTAGGGGTGAAGAGGCTACCTCAAATATGAGGTAGAGCTGGAGCTTCACAAGCCAACTTTTATTTGGGGTAGTTGTAGTTGATTGTTAATTTGATATTTAAAGAGGCAGTCATTCTCAAGAATGATTAAATTGAATATTTATGGAGGTTATATGCCTCACAAAAATATAATACTTACCTTTTCTAAAGCTTAGTTGTATAGAAAGATGGCAAATGATTTAGACCTTTTATTATTAATATGAGCTAAACCAAATGTCAGCACTAAAATAAGATCAAAAAATATCCATACAGTGAGAAGGGAGAAACTGCTAATCATGGATAATAACATGCTGCTGCTTTTACTTCTGTAGCTGGTTAGTCATCTGCATGGTGGCAACATTATAAAAGTCAGTGGGAACAAAATGTCAAATCATGAAAGTAATTTCTCCAAGCGCTGAGACAACTTTTGGAAGATTAGCAAAGAAAGTAACATGGGCACTGTCATTAATTCACAATTCAATGTAATAAATTTTCAAAACAAAAAGCTAAGGAAATGCCTCCCACCAAATCTTCCCAGAGTCAACAGGAGTATATTTGGGATTGTAGTCTGTTAAAAATTGTGTTCCAAATGAAACAAGCTACCTTTCATTAAAATTCTTAAAAGAATACGTCTTGCTTCACTGGAAATTTGTATTGAGCATTTAAGCAATAGTCCATACGTATAGGATAAGCATTTCATGATCTTCAGACTATTTTGCAAAGAACATTCATGCTAAAACTGCAGTGTGAATGCTGTGATTAGGTGCTTTGTGAAATGTAGCTCCTACTGTTGAAATTAATAGTAGTTTTCCATCTTGATTCTGTTGTATTAGGTCCCAACTTTTAATGGACACTTAACAGAATTAACAAAAATTAAATTAGCTTTAGAAAATTAGAATGTGGTGCCAGAACCACTGAGGTTCTTCACAGCAATGCAGTATAGTAACAGTCCTTACTTTTAGTCTGGCTGCAGATCAATATGCCTGAATTCTTCAAGAGTTTTTATAACTAATATGCAGGACTTTGTATCCAGAAACGTGAATTCTCTTTCCATTTTCTAGCAGACAGGATACAACCATCTTTGTTTTATTTTTATTTTTTACTTCACACAGAAAAATCTAACTTAGTGAAGATCTAAAAAACAAAACAAAACAAAGAGTCTAACTTCAGTGAAGATACTCAGAAATTAGAGGAGATATTGATAGAATTCTGAGATTTTCCAAATCACTCAGTTCAAATGAAATTAATGAATGTTTCTAAAATGCTTTGTGATCCTCAGACAGCAAGCTCCTAAGCTCATGCAGGCAGGATGGCCTTTTATACCAACAGAAGAAAATAATTTTAAGCATACAATTTTCTGGAGCAGTTTGCTTTAATACTAATCTAAACTATGCAAGAAAGCAAGGAAATTGCTCAAATCTTTTACTTGCCAGAGCTGCGTTTACACTAGCTATAGAGAAACTGAGTTCTTTAGCTTTTCAGGCCTTTGGCCAAGGCTTTGCCCTTCCCTACTGTGGTAACTGTCTATAGTTATAAAATGTGGTATCAAAACTCTGTGGGTAGGTTTTCACAGATGTCAAATAAGGAGTGAAAAAAAAAAAAAAAGAAGCTTTTTGCTTTCTACCTCATAGAGAAACAGAAGTTTACAGAGCTTGCAACCCCGCGGGTGTGAAAAATGGATGGCTAAGACTAACACTGCATTTGTGTTCCCAGTTGTGTCCTTAGAGGCATAAATCTTTTCTTTCTGCATTTTCTTATTACTTTCTGTCTTTGCACAAGCCTTTTCAGCCTTTACTCCTGCTATGTCCACCTGATCTCAGCACAGCAATGGAAGAGTCCTGATGTAGTGAGGAACTGAGAGGAGACACTTCCTAGTTAGCACCTAAATAGAAGATGTGCAGTGTGAAATCTGTGGATGTTCTTCTGAGATATTTCTCAAAGAAAAGCAAAATAGATTGGTTTTGTGACTATAAGATGTAATCAGGTTAGTTGCCAAAATCAGGCATACTTAGTCTTCCAAATTATAGATCTCGTCAGGTCTGGGATCCCTAAAAACATAAAACAAATTGAAGAAGCTCTTTTAAGTGATCCTGAGAAACTCTTCTCTAGTGTTAGATGTTTTTGTAAAAATAAAGTAATAACAAAGTCAAGAACATTATTAGAATGTTATTTTTTTAAATGGAAGGTTATATTGGTCATCATTTTGTATGTAGCAGGTGAGACATCTCCCTCTCAGAACCATATGGACTGGGTTTGGGGGAGGGGGTATAGCTGTTTTTTCTTACAGGCTCCACAGGCTGATTGCTGCTTATGTAACTATTTCCTCTGAAAGTAAAACAGTGTGTTCTGTTTGTTTAAGGAGCTTTTCATAAGGCAAACACAAAAAAGAAAAGAAATTGATTCTGTGCCAATACATTTTCCAGCTCCTGTACAGAAGGGGACTGAAACAGTTTATAGTGAAATCAGAAAAGCTAATAATGGTAAGTAAGCTAGTGAAAAAATAAACACACAAAGGAAGCATTTGTATAGATATTAGAGTTAAATTTGTGACTGAATAGAAGATAAATGCCTTAAAAAGCAATCCAGGTCACATTAGAACATTCCAAATAGCAGCTAACAAATCATAGGTGTTGATAAACTGTATAACACCCTCATATTTTCTCATAAACCAATGATATTCAATGCAGTGAGATTAATATTTGTAACATCTACTTCATTTGTAACATCTACTTCATCAGTGTTGCATAAGCTAAGTAGTTTGGCCTTGTGTCAGGATGTGAATCTGGAGGTGAACGTGCCCCATTAGGAACTAGGAGGCTATGCTGTGATTCAAACCCATCTCAAACTGCAAATGAACGCTTCGTCCTGGTTGAAGTGTTCAACTTGTTGGACTCTTCAACTTGTTGAAGAAGTGTTCAACCATGTTTGCTCTGCATTATAAAATATTACACTGTGTTTGGGCATAACCCCAGCAAATATCTGTGAAGTCTACAACAGTAAACTCTAAAAACCTCTAAAGCAATAAGATCACTTTAGTAGCATGGGTTGTTACTCACTTGTTTTAAGCACCATCAAAATCGTCTGAGATATGCCAGCCACTCTGCCCTACATGTGTTACCTCCTGTAAAAAAGACTTTGGGCATTATGTTGTATGTGGGCATTAGCAGTTACCAGTAGTTACCATCTATAAATGCTCTGGTAGCAATGAGTTCAGACACAGTTGGTTTCTTAATAGTTTGTCAAAGACTAAATGAGAAAGGATTTCCTTTACTCTCTTTGTATTAGAAAGTCTAGGTTTGGGCTGTAAACTCTTCACTTTTTCTCCCCATCCATGTTATCAAGTGGTTTTGTTGTATACTATGTTTAATTTTTGATCTTTGTGCTTTAATTTGCTATTATTTTCTGTTTTATAAGGCATGTCCCACTCCCTCCAACACAATATTCCCTTTCTAAGGAACTTTTCATGTGAGGGTCTCCAAGTACTTTACAAAAACATAACTGAATTTTATCTTGTGAGGACTTCCAAGTCAGTTGTATCTTCATTTTACAGCTGAATAAACACAGAAATTAGGTCATTTGTTTTAAGGTAATGCGTTCAGACAGTGACAACACTGGGAACAGAATTTCAGAATCCTGAACTTCTGCCTTGGTGCTGAACCTATACATTGTACTAATTTTTCACAGCCTTGCAGTTAAAAGTAAAAACATCGAAGAACAGCCTTAGGCTCTTCATGCAGAATTGCCTGGCAGCATCATAAGGAAAAAACAATTCATTTCAGGCTTAAGCCCAAAAGCCACTAATATTCTGAAAAGTTTTCCAGTGAGCGTAGATTAGACCTGTAACAAGCTACAGAAGCTGACTGCGTAACCCCTTGCTTGCCTTCTGCTGAGGTGTGAAGCTGAGTATTATGCCTCTCACTATTCCTATTTTTGACAAAATGGAGTGTTAGATATTAGAAGGATGTTCTGTGAGTTGCAGTGTAACCTCAAAGGATGGTATGGTGGAGCTGTAATTCAAAGCACTTATTAAACTTTACTTTCTGTAATGTGGGAACTGCAATAAAATGAGATATGATTGAAAGACTGGTCTAAATTAGCCAAATGATATGCAAACAGCCCTTAATCTTGCAGTCCACCTGCTCTTTTATGCATAACATTCTACAGTTTTGGTTATTCTTGGAAACATAGTAACCGTTTATTGTTTTAATCACATCTGTTTTTCCTGACTGATACACAGGAAAAGTGTATCAAATAGATAAGCAGTGCATCACATAGCTATGCAGTTGCTTTGGATAGCTTTGCTCCAGTCTATTTAAATGTAAAGTTTGCTTTGACTTTTGATCAAATTTGACTGCAAGGTAGAAAAGTATAAATGCAGTGGAGGATCCTTAAGAAATAAATCTTAATAAGTACATGAATATATTCGTGGAAGTATATTAACGGTCAATTCTAAAAGATATTGAACATTACTAGTGCTTGCAGAAGGGGGTTTACCTTTGTGATCTTCACTATGTTTGATTATTCTTTGAGATTTTTGAGCAAATGCCTGAGAGTACAATCTCCTTCAGGAAGTTAAAGGTTCAGACAAATGTGACCTCTGGGAAAATTATATGAATTGGGGAATTGGTGTTGGCTACCCAGTTTGATAGATATAACATGCAAGACCTAAAAACTTTTTTTTTTTTTCCAATATTTGCTTGTAAATCACTTTTGTGGTTTCAGTTTGTTAAATTAAAATGAATCAAGTGCTTCATAAGCAGATTCGTCTTTTAAAGGAGTTGCCTGTGCATTTCAGAAATTGTGTCCATTACAGAAGAAGCTGAAGAGGTATCAGTAGTTGTTATGTCTGATGCAATTATTTGTGTCTGAGCCAAATTACTTTTCCTCTTCATTTTTCTGACTGCGCTCACTGCTGTTCCCTGTAAGGCAGATGCCATGTCAATAACCACCTTTTTTGACTGAAAGTCAAATAATAGTGCAGAAGACAGGGTGTTCAGGAAGTTCGTCCAGCTATTGGATTTCTTAATTATTTTTTTTCCTAGAGCAATAGGCTACAAATTTAGTATTTTAAATACGAAATGCCTCAGCTTTAAATCAGTCCTTAAGTCCAAACTGTGAGGAATGCTCACAATTAGTATCAGGTCAATAGCACCTTTGCCTAAGAGTCCTTCACATCTATCAAAATAAGCTAATTTCCTTAAAATACTGCTTTCTCTGGCTGCCCTATGAAAAGGTCAAAGTATATTGGGAGTCTGGGGAATTTCCAGCCAAGTCCCACAGCTATTTTCTTTTGTTCAGAACAGCGGCAGTCTGAGACTTAAGCAAAACAGACAATTGTCTCAATCATCAGACTGCCAAGAGTGATAAAATGTGGCCCTGCTGCCTACTTTGCCTGTGCCTGAGTCCCAGCAGGCCAGGCTGGCAGCTGGTGCTGTTCTGAGGGAGGGGTCAGGATGTGTCAGACGCTAAGTTTGGCTGGGAGGGTGGAGGCTCTTTAGAAGCATGATTTACTTTCATCGCACCTTTCATCCTCCCATGAGGCTGCATGGGCAGGAAGTCCAGGCAACTCCATACTGGTTCTTTCTCGCAGCTCCACCTCTTCTCTCAGCACTGGTCCTAGTTCTTGGGGTAGCACAGTTTTGATCACGTTTCTGAGAAGATGAGCCAACTGTGTTTCACAGATCTCCTTATGTTTTCCAGGGCACTCCCTGGGGAATGCACTGTATGAGTAAATCCTTGCTCCTTTGGTGAACTCAGCCTTTGCTGTGCATTAGATCCAAAGCTCACAGAAGCCAGTGATAGTCTTTGCACTGATCTTGATGTGCACTGAGTTGAACTCATAGTGGCTTATTGCAAGATAACTGCTCTCCTCTCTTCCTAACTTCTCATCAGGAAAATGGAAATCTAGTGAACAAAATGCAGTGCTAGCCTTCATGCTGCTAAGTCTGGAAAAGCGAACTGGTTACTTGGAGGCAGCTGCAGTGACGAGACAGGAAATTCTAAAAACCCTATTGCAACCAACAATGTACTATGGAAAAATAAATATATCCCAGTGGAAAGAGGCATGAGAAATCTCCATTGCATCCAGTGCTTTGGAACAAACTATTAAAAATCAGTCCCAGCAATCAGGAAATCTGCTGCAATACTTTCCTGCTACTGAGCCTAGGGCTTAATATCTCTATACTTAGCTAAAAGTTCCCACTGAAAGCCTTTTCCAGCATAGAGAAAACTTACAAGGTCAGGAGATTCATGACATTATTCAAAAGTCAGGTTTTATGAGCACATGCTCAGTTCCATGCAGTCTGAGATCATGCAAATAATCTCTCTTCTCCAAAATAAAAACTCAGTGTATCTTTAGGTTCTAAGACATGCTAGACCAAAGCTTCAATCTGAGACATTGATTCCAGAGCCAAATGCTGACTCTGGCTTCAGCCAAAAGTTAGGCAAAGCCAGGTGGTTTCACTAAGACACAAATGTGCAGGGAACTTCTAACCTTGGTTGAACCTGAAATACAAAGCACAATTGCATGCAAGCCCCTGTGCAAGATCTATTCCCAAAACTGGCTGCCAAGATTCCCTGTTAGAAGCTACTACTCCAGTGAAAGACTTGGCAGAATATAATATGTGCCTGTAGTTCAGCTGCTTCTGCTGGTATTCCAGCATCTTAGTTTTCACCAGTGTTGGAGACGGGCTTGAGATGGATTGTAAATTACAACTGCTCAGCCTATGTTCTCTTCTCCACAGTATCTAGCAATAAGAAAGGTCAGACTAGATGAGGATGACACTGCCTTAAATTACTGCCAGTAATGTATTCTTCTGTAAAAATATGTTATTTGAATTTTAAGCCCCATCAACTAAAAGCAACAGCAAGAATTTAAATCCATCAGAAATCCATAAAAGCACCTATACTTGGAAATCTTTTAGAAGTCAGCAGCACTGGCTCTTCAGGTCATTTGTCTCTGTTTCTCTTAACAAAATATGCAACTCCTTATTTGCCCTGCTAAAGAAACTTGACCAGATTTTCTGTGTATGACTAGAATCCAGCTTATCTCTATTTCCCTGTTATTGTTAGTAAGGGAAAGTCAGGTATCGTTTGAAAAAAATCTGTTCTCTTTCATCACAGTAAAATCAGTTTGCTTCAAGTAAAATTAACTTCATATTTCTAACAGAAATGAAAAAATAAGGTTGTGAAAAGATTGATGTAGCAAAGAATCAGCATAAGCACCACATCATTGTGCTGTTTGCTGGTAACGATTTTTTTAAATAAAGAAAACCTAAACATTGAGGATGTATGCTGGTTTACCTGACTGGTACCTTTTAGAAATCATATGGCCTTCTAGCAGCACTTTTAAAGGACACGTAGTGTGACATCTTCCTGGTAGAGATATGGTCCTTAGCTAGAAAACCACAGCATGTTGAATCTGGGTGACAGATTACAAGAAGGTGAGGTTATCTGTCATTGTGACCTAGTAGCTTTGGAGTAGTAAACATCCCGTTGTTTGAAGTTTGGAATTTATACAGAATTTCTCATTTCCTCCTTCCTGGAAGCACAATACATTGTCACAGAGGGCTAAACTGCAGCTCATTAATACTTCACTTCATAAACCTTACATATAGTTCTGTCCACTTAAGGTCAAGCTTTGATGTAGCAGTAGGTCAGTAGCATTTTTGTTCCCTTCTGGCTGCTTGCAGAACACAAAAAACTTTGTGTGTTTCCTATGTAACTTTTTATTTTCTTTCTTTTCAAACTGGCTAAACATATAGGCATCAATTTCATATTGAAATTAAGTTTATGAACTGATATAATGCGCTGTAGTTGCCTGAGTTTTTAGCCTTTTGTTAGCCTAAACATTGTGGGTAGAATTATCTTGAAGAAAACTCGTACTGTACGGTGAAAGCAACATTCAGGTAATCTTTGTTTCTCTGCATTCCAGAAATTGCACCCTGATTGCATACTGTGTTCATGATGTTGCTTTCAGTGAAGATGAATCACAGGCATGTAATAAAAATGCCGATGGTAGAAACCATATGAGCTTACCTGCACATAAATGTACATGGTTGCAAACACAAAGGCGAGAGAAAGACACTTAAGCATTGTTATCTGCAAAGTTAATTTCACCTTATTCAGTTTCCTTGTTCCTTGTGCTGGCTGCCAAGGGAGTTTCTTAAGGTCTGTTTACAGTAGTAGTATTTTTTGTGATATACTTATATTTATTTCAGAGTAATTCTCAAACTTTGAATGTGTTCTGCCTATAGGAGGACTGATGCTGTTACTTGCTATTTTAAAAATACTTAGAAGCATAAAGAGATTACTCCACATTTATAGAAAAAAAAACACTATTAAGATTAATCCAGAGCCCAGTCCATACCCTCTGCTTTGAATGTTAGATCTCTTGATACAACTTCTCTTCACTGAATTTGAAGCTTAATTGAAGGTAACAGTTTTACATCATTGTAAGATGAACAAACAAATTTACATTAAACATAGCAGGCTGTTTGCTGAAACTGATCGCTCCTCAATGTGCTACTTAATTATTTACACATTGAATTTTATTTTGCAGATTCTATGGAAAACAGGCATTCTGTAAGTATGCATTTTTGTGTAAGCAAATAAAGCTAGGAAAGTTGGGTTGAGATTATTGTGTATCTAATGAGATGGAGTTCTACATTTTAGTGTTGCTACATTTAATTTTTTGTTGTAGTTGTTCAGAACCTCTACTGGACAGCTACTGGGCAATCCCCTCATAAATATTCTTACTGGTCAGGCTTTCAGTACTACTTTATAGGATGGTCAATATAAAAGCCTGTGGAACTGACTGGTGTTTGGTAGTGCTGGTCACAGGAGGTAAATGACAAATACTGATTTTCTAAGAGTTTGTGTTACACACCTGCATAACTTTGGACATGTGCCATAAATATTCATGCTGACAGAATGGCACAAGGTTGGGGATGGCTGCTGCTTGCTTCAGGGTCCTGATGGAACTGAGGCACTCAAGATTCAGATATAGAAGCCTGCTAAGCTGGTTAACATATCACTAGTGAGAGAGACACTGTTCTAGTTCCATTTGTAATATCTGTAGTGTTTTTGGTGTCAGTGAATCCCCTCAGGGTGTGTCTGTTCACATGCACACACATTCATTCTGTGATTGGGATATCCAGAAAAGTGAGGTCCTTCCTAAAATGTGAAAATAAAAGTTAAACTAAGGAGGAATGTCTGATCCCCTGCACTTGGGGAAGAAGTCACTTACATTCACGGAGTGTTTCCTTCTGGGTTCATTTTCATGCACTGACACAACAAATGGGATGACTCTGTGGACTGGTGGTGAAAACTAAGACACTGTATGAAATTTTGTAGGCAAGCAACTTTTTACTTCAGAGTACATAGATATGTCACAGCTATGTTTTTCTGAGAGGTGAGAACAGTACCATATGTGGCGGAGCTCAGCTAAAATTTTAGGGGTTTTACAGTGGTTCTGCAGGCTGAGGTATAATATGCTGAACAGCTTTATAGGACTAAGAAGTCAGTGAAAAAATATAAATTAAAAAAAAAAAAAGACAATGACTTGAACAAGCTGTTCTTCTGCTCTCAAGAAATCTGATTCAGGAACATACATTTCAGGAATACTTCTATGAATGTTAGATAAGCTATCAATCCAACCTCTAACCAGGGTTTAGAAGGTGTTTTTTTTGTGGTGGGATTTTTTGCCATCTGCTTTGTGACTTTGGAACTTTACTTAAAAAGAAAAAAGAGAAAGACTCATAAATAAGAATCACAATAGCACAGTCTGCGTCAGCTTATGGCATCCATTTGAATTTTGAAAGTCTCCATCAGCACTCACATCCCCCTGGGATAAAAAAGCAGTCCATTGTATTATTTACAGACACTGGCAGAGCACTGAAGGTCACAGATTGTGTTACAATAAACAGACATATTAACAGGCCAATGGGGTTTATAATATCATTGTCTCTCTTAGTTTAAAGGTTTGTTTTTATTCTTTGCTCTCAATTTTCTAAAAATAAATTGAGCTAAACCCTCCTCTGTGTTATACCAGGCATTCCTTGGAAAGTCGCACAGAAGAAAGTTTGTCCCTGTCCAACACAAAAGGAAAAATGGTCAAGAGTAGCTGTGACAGATATCTGGTGTCTGTTCTGGGAGTGGGAGGGGTTGGTTGCCCCCCTTCCTCCCCCCATTTATCAAGAAAGTTGAAAGAAAGGCTAAAATTTTATGAACATCTTTTGTTTTCTGTTCCTGTGGCCAAAAATGAGTCAATGTTAGATTCTAAGGGGAAAAAGTGTCAAAGGAGGGCAGTCTTCTTTGTGTTGTCTGTATAAATCCTTGTTAACAGTAGGAGAGTAATAAACTTAGATTCTCTGTAAAACTAACCTCATTTTCAGAAACAGAACAAAGAAGCCAGCTTAGAACACTTGCACATCTTATCTGAGTTTTCCTAGAAATAGTCTTACTTCACATCTGTAACAGTCTCCTCTTCAGATACTTTTCATGTACTTAATGTAGTAACAGTTCTCTGTAGCTCATTTTCACTCAGCGCATAACTGAGGTTTGGTCCAAACGAGGAGTTGTTGGTCCTACTCAAGAAAAGGAAAATGGTCCTCATAAAGTGATCAAGTGGCTTAAACTTCCTCCCCAGCTGTTCTGCTTCTTTACAGCCAGCTGAAATATTTGGCTCAGAGGTGCAGCTGTTTTGGTCTGCTACTCCCCTAATTTGTGAGTGGAAGGAGGCCTTCAGGTGCTAGCCTGGCCAGCAGACATCCTCATGGCATGAAATGCCAGGTGGATTACTTACCTATAGTGACGTATCAAAAAACTTGTAGAATTTGCCTCTGTCTAAGCAGTAACAGGTATTCTAGAAGGGTCTATGGGACAAAAGGCACAACAACAGAGACAGCCGTGTTTTGCTAAGAGACAGGAGGACATGCAACATTTTTGCTTCAGTAATTATGGTGGAGTCTCAACACCAGATCCCACTGTCTCTTTCACTCACAAAGTTCAGACAACAATGTGGGTTCTGCTCCTCAGATAATTTCTGTTAACTTACTCAGTTCTGCAGTGATCTTTCTGAAGTCACAGCCAGATCAGAGTACTACATGATGGAAAGAAAAGATGAAGAAAATCATTTTAATAATAAGTGCTAGCCTTGCTCCCATTCCCTTGCCCCTCTATAGTTTCTGTCAGAGTAAATATAATCCAGGATGGAAATTTAGGAACTTTGCTTCATCTTCCCTGAGAGACCGTTATAAAATTGAGCTCAGGGCTCAGACAGTAAATGTTGCTTACTAACAGTAAGTGTTGTATTACACAGAATCATTAATGTTTGCATTATGTTAAGAAAAGTGGTGCATTAGAAAAACAATTAGTTAAATTCTGAATTATTTGAGTTATCTAAAGGTTTAATTGCAGTGTGGTCCTGACTGATTTGCCATCCAGGGTTACATGAACCTGAATGTCTTGGATTTTTGGGACATTTAGAAATGAACCCACAGTTTTGGGGTGGGTGTTCTTCTCTCTTTCTCCTCTGTTTCAAGAATTTGTATCTTAAACGCCATCCATAGGAAGTATTTGCAAAAGAAATGAATTACTTAGAGAGGAACTGGGAGGAGGTTTCCTTCCTGAAATCAGAGCTGGCAATCTTTCTGAGTTATTTAATGGTCCCAGTTTCTGAAAACATATTGAAGGAAATATCTTAACAATGAGATAGCCACTTCGCCAAATACTAATTGGTATTGTGTCAAATTTACCTCAGCAGTACATTCTGACTTCATATCTCTCCTCCCGTATTGCCTCTGTGTGTTTGTTTGTTTGTTTGAGTCTGTCCAAGGAGTATATGAGGACTGGCAGCCTCAGTTGGAACACGGTGTACTGTTAGCCACCTATTTGTACGGCCTCAGAATGTACCCTCTGTGATGGAAACACGTAAAATTTAAATCTATTTGCAGAAATGTGTTTGTTTTCAGCTACTCTCTCATCTTACTCAAGCGATCCCAAATGAATTTTGTAAATTTTCTGTAGTAAAGAAATTGCTTCATGTTGCTGGCACAACGTAGCACAACCTAGCACATGTTGCTTGCACAACCCCCTTGGAAGGGGGATCTGGCACGTGTTTAACTGTGGACAGTAACATGGCACAATAGCTCCAGACAGGAAATGAGGATGAAGGATGTGTCAGTTTAAAACTGGGGGGCATTTCAGGCAGTCAGGATATGAAAAACAAGGTGATACTCTGAAATAAACACTGAATTATAAACCAGGAATTCCTGCCTCTGACTCATGGGGCAAATCCTTTGGGGGTAAGTCCACAAAAGGAATGAGGCGCCTCAGTGCTGACAGACTAAACTATTAGGTTAGAGGCCATCACGTACTCTTAGCAGATATTTGTGGGAGGAAGACTTGCTATGGCAACTGATGTCAGGAAAGACCTGACAGTTGTGAATCCTCGGTGGACAGAATTATTTCTGTCATGTAACATAAAGTCTATAAAGTTTGGGATCTCTCCTTGACCTTTCCCTCTGGTTAGTATAGAGGACTCCTCCAACCGCACACCTCTCGTGGTTCTCAGTGCCAGGTTTCTCTCTCCTCAGTGTGTACTGAGCAGATAGCCTACTGGAAGGAGTAGAAATGTGGTGTCTAAAAGTTGGATGACGCATTGCTCTCTGTTAATCTACTCAGATGCTTCTTGGGAAAGTTTTTTTTGTTCCTGTGTAACTGAAGAACAGGGCCTAATTGTGGTAACTGGGCATCTACTTGTAAACAAAGGAACTGACTTTCAGATCCATTCAGTGCCAGCAAGTTCCATAAGAATCTGACTTTTATCAGTAAACACGCAGTTACAGATGTTGCTGATTTACAGTATTGCACTCCAGTCTTTGATTGTTAACCCAAATCCCCAATTGTCTTATCTCCTTTTTTATCTGATGAAGATAATGCTAATATCTCCCCAGGGAACTGTGCATATTTATTAGTTCATTGTACAGTGGTCTAAGGAAGATGTTATTTTATTTTAAGTTTTTGTATTGATCAAAAAGGAGAGGGGAGGGCAGGGGGCTATTTACATTCATTTTTTTTTTTCTTTTTTTGGTCTTGTTGCCAACAGAGAATACAAGGGCATCCTGATGCTACCTAGAGTACTCATCTCAAACATCATCTGGGAGAAGAAAACAAGCCGAGATGGAAGATGTTGCAACTGTTTCAAAAGCTCTGCAGCACTTACTTATGAGTTTGCCAGGCTCTTCTTTCCAAAGTTTATTTCCTCAAGGGGAACAAAAGAGATATTCCTAAAGCATTTAATGGAAAAAAATGCAAAAAAAATTCTCATAGGAAAGTGGCTCAGGAAACCACTGACCTGGGTTCCCATCTTTAATTTCCCCTGCTAATGAAATTTTGTCTTTCTAGCCTCCCAATTCATCATGCTCTGAGGAAATAAAAGGGGAAACTATGGCTGAGAAAGTACATTTCTGCAGTGCAGTAACTACTGTGATGCTAATAGAATGTAGAAATATCTAAGCTTGCTTTAATCTAGCTAACTTGGTAATCAGTAACACTCTACTGTGGCAGAACAGAGCTCAGCACAGCCTGCCCAGCCATGTATGTACTTCGATGTGATCTTGCATCTTGCGCTGAACTCCCTGTGCTGCAGCAGCTGGACTGCTACCAGTCTTGGAGCCAGCTAATTTATAGCTCATTTGGATGCTACGCTGCAATTAGGGCCTAACAGAAGAGTGAGCTCTGGGCTCTCTAAAAACTTGAATAACTGTTCAGAGATTCAGTACTTTACCAAGTGCTTCTCTCAGTAGAGACACAAATATTCTTTATTCTTTGCTAAACTGCTTTTTCCTTCTAAAAGTTCTGATGTTGTTGGTTAGTTTGCTATGATGGTTCTTCAAGGAATGATTGCTAATCATGCTTATTTTGGATGATGCAAAATAAACATCTTGAGTGGGTGGATACTACACCGAGGTCGGTGAGTTTGTATCTGAAAAAACAGTTATGTATAATGCTTATTCCTGGGATTTTAGGAGAGATCTAAAGTTATACTTGTGCCCAGCTTGTCCACTACGGAACTCCATACCTATTCCTCTTCTCTATAGTATGATAAATGATTATCATGGATCCAGTTCTGGACCTGGATCTAATCTCTGAAGCCCACGTTTTTTTCAGTTGCATTAGTTTAACAGAAAAACAAAAAGTACCGTCCTTTAACATCCTTTAAGAAGCTGGTCTCTGACACTGCAATTGCTCTCCTTTTCTTACTGCAGATTAAATTACTACAAGATCTGGGCCACAGGTAAGAAGGTTCTCATTTTAATTAGAAAGAGAAGACATGGATGTGTATATACATATATAGTTACTGCTTAAAGCATTGCATCAAAGGCACAAAATCAGCAAGAAATACAAAAAGGTTTTATATCTTCATTCCAAACTTTTAAATTTTCAAGCTCAAGTTACTGGCTAGTATTTCTAATTTATTGTTCCCCATGCAAATGTTTTTTGTATCATAAGCCTTTCACAAATGACTGAATTCTGATGAAAGATGTTCATTCTAGCATCCCACAAGTGTCCATACAAGTCTGTTACTATAGGGAATGTGAAAAGGTGTTCTAATAAAAAAAACTCTGAACTGAACTTTGCACTGGATCTTGCATGTTCATATTAGTGACCACTTGCAAGTGAATATCTGTGAAGCTTCTTAGTGATGAATCATACAGATACATTTCATAAATGATGTATGGAAGATGTTGTCTCTGTAACAACTGATTTCAGGCACCTAGATCTGTTGTCATGGACCAGTTTAGCAGCAGGTAAATACTTAATTAAGTTTAAGAGTGAGCACAGGAGTGCTTGCATTCACATCTCTTGCTAAATTACAAAGCTAAAAGTTCCTCCACAAACCTTTCCACAGCCCTTGTCAAGGCTCAGAAAAGCACTGGTTTCTGGGAAGTTTCACGGTGTCATCTGTGCAGGATGGAGTAGCCATCGGACAATTCATTGGTCTATTTCAGATCATCCCTTGGCTAATCCTAACTTAATCCTGAAGTGTTTTGGATTTAGCTATAATAAAGGTTGTTTATTTGCTCTCCTGAAGCATACCTGATACATTCATTTATTAGAGTGCTGTGTACTGCTTTGAGCACTTTTGCTTTGTTTTACAGATACATCACAAATATTTAAAAATATGGGACACAGATCAACAGACATCTCCAGCGAAGACAAGGTCAATGAGCCCAGGAAGTAAACAACTACACAAGGAGTCCAAATGTCCTGTTATAAGCATGTCTTCTGGATGCCAAACAAGCCCCATTGTGTCACTAGAAACATTTGGGAAATGCCTTGAATCTGTTACTGAAACAGATTAAAACCCAGATTAGAGGTCAAACAATATGTTATTGAAAAACAACCAAAAAGCCAATTCAGATTTCTACCTGTCACCAAGATGCACTCAGCAAATATAAGATGAGGTGTGTTGCTAAATATTTATGTTTCGAGAAGACAAATAAAAGGATCTCCTAAAATCAGTTTGGGGTGGGGACAAGCTTGGATTTATAAGGTAGTATGTAGGCGTGGTGAGTTGAAGGTGACAGGCTTTTGCTTTCCTATTTGCACTGCTAGTCCTGTTGGCTCTCCTGTGCGCACATGGCAATGTGCAGACACCTGTCTGCCCCAATTAGATTAAGGCTGTGTTTGTGTGGTGACATTTATGCTGTTTTGCACCTGAAAGAGCCAATCCATGTGCACAATGACGTGTTTCATGTGAGACTGTAAGAAAAAGCACCTTGCAGAACAGCGCCTGCAGGTGTCATTCACATTAGTAATAACTTGAGACCACTTGCTTGAGAGGAGAAAAAGACCTTTTCCCTCAGACTCTCTTTCTTAAGAGAGGTTTTTATGATTCATGAAGACCCAGGAAAGAGCAAGAGCAACAGCTTTTCACTTTAAAAATTGCAGTACCACTTATGTGTTAATTCCTAAACTAGGAAAGAAATGATGGTGTTACCTTTCTAAGTTGAAACTTTTAGCAGTTTGTTAATGTTTTCTGGTTATCAGGACCAAGGAAGAATGATAATTTTGAGATAAAGGTATCTGAAAGTCTCAACATTTGTATCTAAATCTAAAAGTCTGAGCTTGCATTTTGTAGATAAACTTGCATGAATTTTCCCCAGCATATCATTTTTTATGCTAGGGAATGCTTTACAGTAAGAATTCAAGCTAGCTGTTAAAAACCCATTTTGACAGGAGAACTAGGGAAAATTCTCAGGCCCCTTCGTGGCATTGCCTTTTCTGAGCAGTTTTGGCAGGGCCACGTCCTTCTTGACTTAAGCATGTTCAGAAAGTGACCTGCACATCCCACTCCCTCATTTGATTAACTTTATAACATTTTTACTGTTCTAGAGCAGAGGCTTTGGGACAGAAACGCTTTAAGCCAAAAGCCTCTTCCTGCTTGCCACCATTAGTTTTTTCCTTTCCAGCAAACTAGCAGCTACTTATTTTCTTGTCTAATGTAAGTGCGTTTGTGTGTGACCTTTGGTGGAAAAAGCAGCGACGATGTGCTGGCTGCTTCATGCTAGAAACCACCGGGGAAGGGCACGAAATGCTCTGCCAAGCCTCCTTTCAGTGCCACGGGTGCCCGGGCCGGGACCTTGCAGCCCGATGCGGTGCTGCCCCCCGGTGGCAGAGAAGTCGCAGGGCTGCAGGCGGGGGCCACGTCCCTGCTCCCCGCAGGGGTGCTCCTGGGCACCTGTTGGAGCCGCAGAGCTGAGCCGTGGGACTTTCCTTCCTGCAGTGGTGGGAGCTCCTCGTCTGATCTCGGCCACTCTTTAGGAGAGTTTTCAAAAGCCTGCCAACCACCACTTCTTTCTCTCTTACACAGGTCAATTAATTGTTTGTAAAATGCAGGGCACTCATTCTGTGCGGAGTAAACATCCTGTTCATCGGTGGGTGATTAAACCCCGAAGTTTATTTACTTTTCAGGGGAAGCTATGTGCTTGTTCTAATTGCTTCTTCGTGAGCTTGGTCCAGTTCAAGTTCTTAATGTTGCAATTCACCCGTAAGCTCACTTGCATCATAAGCCCCCAGCTTTTGAGCACAGGGGCAGTAATGCTGTCAGACGGGCTACAGCTGTTGCGAGGGAAAGGGCACGTACAAGGAAAGGAAAAAGAGTTTGAGAAAAACAGTTGAAAAAAAATCACACCAAGTAAACTAGAAATCAAAGTGATGGATAGCAAAGTATCAGGACAAATTTAAAATGCTAGCACGTTTTGTTGTTTAGAATTTCAGGCCCTTTCAGAATAGACCAGTGAAAGCAAAATAAACATCCCTTTTATAGTTATTTGGGAAGTAATAAGCAAGTTATCGTGTCTAAAGAATCACAAAGAACAGAGCTTATTGTCTTCATCCTTTGAAATTCTCCAATGTAAATCACAGGTGCTCCTATTAAAAATAAAAAAGCATAGAGAGCCTAGCAATCACGAGAACTTGGCTTGCATGGGAAACTTCAATTAACTGTGAGCATTTATACAGGTAATTTGTTTTCTCACCAGCCATAGACATGTTGAGTGGGAAGGCTGAGAGAATTCTCACCACTGCAGGAAATAATCACTGTAGTTAAGTTTTAAATTTAATAGCAAAAGAAATCACAGTTTCCTCAGGGAGGGAGTCAGCTGAAAAGTCTGATGACAGGCAAACAGAATAACAGCACAAAACTGAAATGAAAGACTTAGCACAAACCAGCAAGGGTCTAAGGCAGCCCAGGCAAAAGCACCCCACAAGTAGAGACAGAGGGGAGGGAGCAGGGATGGGGGAGAAAAATGAAGAGATCGTGGAAGGTTTGGGAGACAGCCCTTCGGTGTGGTCACCTTGCTGGCTCTATACCTCATGGCATTGGTGATGCTTGGGGAACATGGTGAGGCTGAATCAGTACTGCAGAGGTTGGCTTGTTCCAAGCATTGCTGTTTTTTTCAGAAGTTCTGTGGCTCCTAGGAGTAGTATAAAATACACCTGTTAATAAAAGGCACTTTTGCAGGTAGCTGCAGTATTGATCCAGGAAGGCAATAGGTTTGTTTCAGTTGGTGCCGTCAGTGTGTTAGCCTTGTGTGGGGACATGCAGTCATCAGGCACTGAGGAACCTACCTGATACATGCTGCTGTAACAGGCTGTGATATTGCCACAGGGAGTTTGTGTCTTCAGAAGAAAAATCCTATTATGCTCTTATTTATCTGGCACAATCCAAGACATGTTCAGTGCTTGCAGAGGGACTGTGACTGCTGAAATAGCCTGTTTCCACAAAGCACTTATCAACACTTGCATGGGGAGAGCTTGGCTTTAAATCCTCTGCTCTGGCTTTGTTTTTATTCTTTTTTTTTTTTTTTAAACTACACACTGAGCCAAGTCTCCACTGCAACTGACACAGTTTCACTCTGAAAATCAATGAGACAGTGCTACGAGGGCAGATATGTCTCAACTGTGAACTTCAGATTGCTCAGAGCTGCTGAACTGACAGCCCTGACTGACTTTTGTCTTCATGGAACTAATCCGTGACAAATGTCTGAACTCCCCTGTGGCCCTCACCACCCACCAGGCTCCTTCTGAGCCAGTTCAGTGCCCAGCTAGGGGTAAGCTGCAGCAATGTGCCCTCTCCCAAGTGGAATGACCACTTCCCGGCCCCAGCCTTTCCCTAGGGGACTCTCTGCTCTGTCTGGGGATAAGTGCTTCCAAGGCAGTGAGAATGAGAGCTGCTGGCCTGTCCTCAGGAGGAGGGGGGCAGAGAGATTGCCATCAACAGGGAAAAGATGAGGGCTTTGTCTTAAGTGGGCTCAGTTATGGTATTACTGGAAGGGGTGAACTCAGCATCCCTGTTTGGTAATAGACTGTAAGAGTCTAATGGAAGAAAAAATTGTCAAGTCTATTAAAATGTGTTCAGAGTGTAAGCCAATTAATGAAAATTACAGCCACACAGGTTATTAAATTAGCATGAGACTGTCAATAGAAAATATAGATTGCTTTTGAATAATTTTAAATTATTTAAAGCACAGTAATAATGAAAATCTCACAAAGTCTCCGTCATGCAAAGCATAGTTTTAATTTTGTTGCTGTTTGAGTTGTCTTTTATGTTTTCATTTCAACTTCATGATCATTAAAGGAGCAGGAGATTTAAAGACCAAGAGCTACAGAAGATGCTAAGAGGAAAAAGCTTAGAGGTGGCTAGAGATGAGCTGTGATTCTGCAGTTATCCATGGCAGAGCTGACATCAGGTAAAGCCAAGTGTGTTTAAATGTAGTCCTTGTGTGCATAATGATAGATTAAATCTTCTAGCCACTGACTGTGCCCACATCACCCAGTTGGGTGTTCAGGACTAGACAGCCTGTATTCCCTCAATTACTTTGGCCATTAATGACAATATTTCGCAAAAGCAAGGTGGACCTGCCATGCCTGATATTCCTGTAACTCTTACCACACGTGGCTGCTGCTGCTTCTTTTGTGGCCTCTTCCACTTATGGGCCTGTAGCAATTGCCCCTGCCCTGGACTCCTGGAAATGCCTCTGCACGTAGCCACAGAGAACAACAGGGAACTGCCTCCCTGGCTGCAATTTCCAAACAAATCCAGTGACCGGAGCTCAGCCCTGACTCAGT